AGGTTTGTGAAGCAGCAAGCTAATGAGCTAACTTTATTGGGTCCATTTTTTACTGAGGTCCATGCCTCCCTTAAGCCTGGACTCTGGGGTCTCCGTGCTGAGCTCTCAGTTGTGTGGATTGTATTTGTTATAAGCTCTGCTGCCTCACTTCACTGCTTTATGATTCTGCCCTGCTGTGTTGCTGCCATCAGGAAAGTGTGTTTTGAATTGCCAATGTGTGTTTTTTGTCTTTTTTCTGTGGAATCTGAGCTGTATTGATGAGTCATTCGATTTTAAGCACTACTAAACTGTTCCTGGAAGCACACTTTACTTTCCCCCTGTCCTCGTTATGATTCATCACCTCCTGTCCACCCTCAGTCACATACTATACCTCATCCTTTGCTTTTAAATCCGTTTTTCTGACTCTCCTGCTGCCGTTCCATTCCACCTCAGCCCTCATCACCCCTTTCAAGTGATTCATCCATTCTTCAATTCTGCTTACTGGAGTGAAACTCAGCGAAATCAGATTCCGCAGCCATGAGTGGCACTTCCCTCCTGAGAGGAATACCGTGAGACATAAATGCACAATTTGATGACCAACAGCCTGAGAAAGAGCGGCACATGATGCCAGACGTCCTGTTTGACCATCAAATAATGGGTCTTTATGTGCTTTTAAGGTATACTCTGAATAGTTGGAAGTCTGTTCTCATCTTTAGGGTAAACCAGTAACAGCTATGCGGTTTACTCCGTGGAGAAATGATCATTCAGAGTTATACTCTAATAGTTTAACAAAGATCCCCCTGTGGGCAAACGGCACTAAGCAAACTACTCATGCATCCATTTTAAGTGTATGTTTGGTAAGAATAAGCAAACTGTGGCCCCACAGGGATCAGCACTTCACTCATGCCTGAGTCCCACACCAGCAAGGCCATTTCCAAGAAGGCCACGAGGTGACCTCGTTCCTGTGACTGGCACAATGTCACCCTTCAAAATGTTGCAAAGATTAAAGATTCATTCTGCGTGTCCTTCTTTCCAGGACTCAAAGGGTTATATAGTGCACACTACCAGCTTCCTCACACTCTAACGGAAATCCAAAACAAAGAGCTCACTACTCTGCGTCTCCCCAGTGGCCATTAGTCATGTCTAACTGGCAGAGTGTTACTTTATCTGGCTGAGACTGCAGACTTCACACGTTGTGTGCTGTGTATGGGACAAGACGACATCAATGGAAAGTAGCAAGGCTCAGTGCTTTCTTGTGCTTCCAATCACATAAATTATTTCATGATTGCTGGACTTTTTTCAAAAGAGAAAAAGTGGGAGATTTTCTTGGAAGATTTAAAAGCACGTGATTAAGCACAGGAGTTTTTTTTTCTGTGCCCACTACTGCTGTCATTACTGAAAGATCTCTGCATGTATCGCATCAATTGCCATAAACTCTAACAAAGACATTTATAATGCCCGTTTATGTTTGCTGATTTTGGTGATTTCCTGACATCTTTCACCACCATTTTGTTGACATTTATGAAGTGGTGGATGGCTCGAAACATGATTAAATTTCTGCCATTCTGTAATCACCTGCAGTGGAAGACATGTTGACTTTTATCTTCTGAGTTTTCTGTTTAATTTTTACAAAACTTTCATAATACCCACGCTTGCTAAACTAATGACTTCTCGACTTCTCTGTAACAATTCACTCATCGTAAGTGGAAAAAATTACCTGATGATGAAAATGGTGAATATTTTACAGCATCTGGAAATTGTCAGTGCTTTGAACGGCTTTGTTTCTTCATAGTCATCAAGCAGCATTAGGTTGATGTATCGTCTTCCCAAAATGTTAAAAGTTGATTAAGTAATGGGTCAATGTGGAATTGATAAGTGGAATCTTGCTAATGTTGCTGTTGAGCAGCGCTCTCGAGTCGTGGAGGATGATGACGTAACTCAGCTGTCAGAAAAAAATGGTCTGTGCTTTGATTGTGATTGATTGCCTCTTAGTCTTGGAGTTGATTTTCTTTTCATACTGCGCTGACACAAACTGAAACTAATGGCTGGCAGGTCTGTATAAAATCACTGACATGGTGTAAGTCATGATATGCTTTAGAGAATGACCAGCAGTGATAGAAAACACACACAGTTGTGCAGTTAATGAACCCAAACAGGCAAAATTACCTGAAAATCCTTCAGGTCACCTCTGAGACTTGAACTAACCTAATTAAACAACTGAAAAAAAAAAAGCTAAGGCCAACATGTAAGTTCAGCATGATGGTCTCTCTAGAAAACACACTAAGCAGAGCCAAGGCTGGCCTGCCAGCTTTTTGCCAAAGCAATCTAATTATAGAGCCTGGCAAACTATCTTAAATGATGCAATGGCTGCTAAGTGAAAATGTCTTCCTGCTCTCAGTTCTGTCCCTCTTGTCAGTTGTGTTTTGTTTTGTGGCACAGGAACAGCAGCTGCTCATAAGTATTCATTAGTCCAGCCCTTGGATTAGCAGAGACAAAATGTGAGTGTAGACGGGACTGCCTGCTCGCTTAGCCGACTCCTCCAGAACACAGCGGGCCCTTCTCTGTCCCTCTGAGCACCAGCCACAGCTGCTCAACACCACTTGACTTTTCCAACAACAATGTTCTCAGATGGCTGTGGACACTTTTGTTTCTGCTAGGCGAAACGTTAATTTTTTTTGTGCTTCTCTTTAGGACTTCTCTGTGTTGAATAATAGTTGGCTCCATTTTTTCCCCCCTTACTGACAAAATGCCGCCGAGATGCTGCGTAGGGAACTATTTGTTTACTCATGCTGGTTGTTATGGCGATTGCCTTGGATTCAAGGCCCCCTTCATCAGATACTCAGCTCTGATTTTGCATAGTGAGCTCGGTCCAGTAGACCCCGTTTTTCAGCATTTTGTCATCTGCCATATGTGCTCACACATTTGTTATTTTTTTTGTTCTGGAAGAAAAAAAAAAGACGTCAGCCTCCCATTCTCTCCATTTCTCCTCTTGGAACACATGCACCATGTATCGGTTGCGTTGTGTCTCCCACTCAGGACAGCTGCACTGACTGGCTATCCCTGCGATCTCCTCTGTGCCCACATGCGCGCCCCATACACCCATGCATGCATACGCACACTCCGTGGCCATAAGTCATGCGCTTTACACCACCTCCCTCCGGCCAAATACTCACACACATGTACTCATGTCATCGCCGGCCTCGGCCCGCTGTCTCCGCCCTGGTGCGCCTGAGCTACCATTCGCTCGGTTTCCTCGCATTCCCTCTCCTCTCTGCCTCCCTCAGCGACGACCCCCTCCGATCCTCTGTCGCTACAGCTGTGTGTCAGCTGTCAGCCTGTCCCAGTCTGGCCACAGATGAAGCCGAAACACAGAGGGCCTACAGGGAGGACGGCTTGGCCTCTCTGTCTCTCCCAGCTGTCACTCCCTGATCAGACCTCCACTTATCACCAAGTCTCCTTTTTCCTTCTTTCCACCCCTTCGCGTCCTCTCCAGACACTTCAAAACCTTGAACATAGACAGCTGAAGAATGTTCCGTCAGACTCGCTTAATTAGGAAAATAATCTACACTCAAGTTCAGTTTATGAAAGTCTATGCTTTCATAAAGAGAGGCCACTGTTGTTGGAACCTGTGAGCACTGCGTGTCAAAGCAGTTCGATCAAAAAGTTACATAAACATGCCTTAAATGGCTATGGCATGGCATCCGTCATGAGAGGAAGATGCATTGCGGCTCTGTTTTATTTCCCGTCAATTTATTAGCTGAATGGAGATAAAGCCGATGGTGCCGAGGGTCTGTTAGTTTGAAGCTTTCAGAGATTTAAAGAGTTGTGCTAAGAGTACTCTCTAAATCTTGTAAAGCTAGTAACTCACTAAATTCTGTGGACAGCATTTGTGATTTTATTTGGCAGTGAATTAGAATATATTTACAGGCATAATGTTCACTGTTTACTTTCCCAGCTTGTATATTATTGCAGCACCTCTTGCCCCCACACGTCTGTGGTGCTCCATTTTAGCTCCTTTCTCTTGTAAGAGCCCCCTGTCAAAAGCCACAGTTAAGTCCGAGGGTCAAAAAAGAGCCGTTGGCTAGTTGTGTTTTCATTAACATGCTTTATGCAGATTTTGAACTTGCACGTTAGAAAGGGTCCATGAGATTGACCAAAAGATGTGATTTACTGAAGTGTTTATTAATCTTTTCTGCTTGTGGATAGCAGACAGGGTCAGTACTCAGTGGCATTAGGATAACAACACCAAATGTCTGTTTGAATCAACTCTTTTTAGGTGTGATCATCTCATGAAAGGTCTTTTTTCTTTGGGTTTCTTTGTTTTTGTCCTTCATGTTTCGCTGTCATGTGTGATTGAACCAACAGGGAAGACATGTTAAAGTGAATAAGAGCAGCATCTACAAAGGTAGAAATGTATTACTCTTAATACATTGGGCTTTGCAGCTGAGAGGATTTATTTGCACTAACGCTTAGACAATTACAAAATTTCATAACATTCTTTTCAACCAAAAACACTCTTACATCTCACTTCCTTTCTGATTTCCTCAGTATTTATTGAATCATCTGTTTGGTATTCACTCTAGATACACCCCGTCCTATCAATGAAAATACGTTTGAAATAAGGTAGCAAAAATGACTGGCATATCAAATTCAGACCGAATCAAATTCTGGGAGGACTAATTATGCTCCTGCTCGATTACCAAGCTGTTTGAAGCCTTTCGAAAGGCAGCAAGCTGTTTTTGTATGATGGCATTGTTGTTTGAGAGAGAAAAAACAAATTAGTCTGTGAAAGTGGTTGCTTTTATTTGGCTTTGTGCCTGCTCCTCGGGGGTTCGAGCCATAGTATAGGTTTTAGACAGAACTGATTGAAAGACATGCAGCCTGCTTGGGAAAAAGAGGATATGGCCTAGAGAGTTGAGTTATTAATGGTGATTGTGAGTCCGTGAGCTCAGCAGCCTCGGGCTACAGCTGCATACGTGAATGTGGATGCGAAACTAACCAACGGACTGAAATGATGCACTTCCAACAGTTGGGTGAAGCTCTGAATCTGTCTTTCTCTTTGACAGGTATGCCTGTGGCCATCAGCGTGTCTCCGGACAGGTAACCAGGTGTGTTGCAGCTGTCATGGCCTCGGCAACTGCCCGACTGTTTCCTGTCACCGTGGTCACAGTTCTAGCTGTGCTCGTGTCATCGGAGGAGCATGAGTGGCACTTTAACCCAGGTATGATGTCATCAAAAAGACATACTGAAGTTTTTCCCCATAAACATTTGAAACATCCTTTAGCATCCCCACGGATGAGATCACTGGATTTTCAAACCTTTTAAAGCTCCCTCCTCCTCTGTGTGCTCCTCTCCGAAAAGGCCTGTCCCGAAGCAAGACCATTCTCCTCACATTTTCAAACCTGTAAGGCTCATTCCCCATCCACTATCAACAGGCTATCCTGTGTCCACTCCCTGTCTGCCAGCCAGTCGTGTGTAATAGGAGAGTGAGATAGGCAGACCCCCAGCCCCCCCCCCCCCACCTCCACCCCCCTGGCTCGTCAAGCCCGCTAATGCACAGGCACTTCATGAAAGTGTCAGTCAAAATGTCAGGGAGGGGAGCAGCAGAAGAGCGAGTGAATGTGAGCCAACCAGGTGTAATCAGAGCAGCATTGCAGTGCAGGCAGCCCTTTGACTGCCGCACAAGTCTGAATAAGAATAAGCCTGCCTCCATGGATCTTTGTTTTAATCAGCCGTCGATTATTCATTTCATTCTAGAAGTGACTGTTTCTCCAATACACTTAAATATTTCGAAATACGGGTGAGCGTGTGAGTGTGTGTGGTAATTATTTGAGCGCTCTAGAAAAGGGATATATGGACGTACTGCACATGTCTCTGTCCGGAAGTTAAAAAATGACAAAAGAACAGTAAACCCTCACAATGCTGACAACTGTGTGCAGTTAAGCTGCCAGTGCCGCTCTCACTGTGTATCACCCTGTCAGACCTGAGTGTAACATTTGTTTGTCTCCCTAGAAATGTGCAAGTTCTTTAATCTCGTGCTGTCAGGGTAGCCTTTCACTTGTCTAAAACTCTGATTTGTTATCACTTAACTGCAAATCTTATTAACTGAGCTTCCATTCCCCAGCAAATCGATCTGAACAGATCCTTTGAAACGCTGCCACAAAGAAATGTTAATTGGACGCATTTCCATTAACTCGTTGAAAGTCAATAAACTGGTCTGTGCAAGGGTGTCAGACGGTGGAAATATAGACTAGTGTGGATATAATTGTAAAAGAAGTAGTTATTCTAACTGGAAACAATCCTGATGCAGAAACAAACTGCTCTGTGCATCATAACTTTTCTCAAATTCATGGGAATATTTAGAATATCATATCTCAGAATTTATTTGCTCTAATTGAAAACACCCAATGAAATCTTTACATGTCAAGAATAATTCTGAATTTGTTTCTGGGGACCTTAACAAGCAGGAGATTTGCTTCAAAACTATTTTGGAGATGGAAACCCATTGCAGTGAACAATGACATGTCCATTAGGCTCAGAAGGAACCTGGTAATCTCACATAAGAAACCTGAGCTTTTGGTCAGTACTTCACTGAATGGCTTTGAAAAAAACTTGTTTTCTGGAAGTTTATGAAGTGCTGTGTGGGGGAAGGGGTTAACGTTTTAACCTGCTGAAAATGGATATAGTGTGGAGTAATGTGTCTATATGCACTCTGCAGGTACTTCAGCTTCGTTCCACCAAACACAAACATTCATGCGAGGTTGATTAATAGTCGGAGTGCGTTTGCTTGTTTATGTCGATGTCGGCTTTGTCCACATTTGACCTTACTACTCGCAAGATGGCAGCTCGAATAGGCACAGGCTCTCTGTGACCCTGATTTACATTAAGTGGTTTGGGAGAATCATGAATTGATGTCTGTTTAAATATTTGGTCCATCGAATGATTAACTGTTGCATTTCTCCTGTGTACAGGAGTAGGCCTTTCGGTATAGCAGATAAGAGATCAGAAAGAAAAAAGTTTAGAAAGGTTTGTGTCATGGGTGGAACTATGAGAAAGGCCAAGGGTACATCCAGGGGTAGAGACAGCAGGAGGTAAAGTGACTGCACATGGTGGGTTTTTAACTGGCTGCATGGCGTAATGATGAGGATGATGTAATGAAATGGGCACCTGTCCTCAGGGTGTGGATAAACTCTGTGTGTGTGTGTGTGTGTGTGCTGCAGCCATTTGGGTTTTAGGGTTTGTCATGCAGCCCAACATTCCTGTTCGCTGACTCAATGACAGAAAGTCAGTTAGACGCCAACCCCACCCCCTCTTCTTTCTGTCACCCTCAGCCAACGCTCCGTATCGCTGTCGGTACCCCTTTTCACTTTATCACTAACCAAACACCCCCTCACCTCTTCCCCATGACTGACTTAAGAGCAGATAGCTGAGTGTTTGGGTAATCCCTGCCTCGGACCACACTATCTGTATCTTTTGATTACGCTGCCAGTGGAACGGGGTCGGCGCGGATATCTGAGACTCGTCTGTGTTCTTTTCTTTGCCTCGGTTTCTGTCATTCTGCCTTTTATTTTCTCTTCCTGCAAATCTCAAAGCTGTGGTAACTGGAGCTGTGCGGGATCACTATAGCCCTGAGGTGTTGGCATTATGTGGGACAGAGAGAGTCTCAATAGACATGAAATGTGTCTTTCTTTGACATAAGTTGACCTCTCCATAGGTTTTCTATCAGCAAACCATTTGGGATGTCTGCTTGATAAAGAACACAATGTTTCTAATAACTTTTATGGACACTCAAAAGTAGAAGCATCTCATTTTCAGTGGCTCACAGGTTTACATACACTGAATTATAGTGTCTTCAAGCACACTGGAAATTCATGGAAATTACTTTTGACTTTAGGAGTCTCTGATTGGCTCTTGAACATAAAAAAATCTAAATGAAGGTGTACATTTAGAATACAGCCTGCTGCTTTCGCTTGACACAAAGCGCTCAATTTTCCGTCCAACTCAGAAAAAGATGTTTGCCATTTAAAGTCTGCTTCATCCTTAAAAACATTTTCTTAGCACCTGGAGGTTCTGCTCATCCTCACAAATATAATTGACTGTGAAACTGTCGGACGTAAACAGATCCTTTGGTTTGGCGAGCACTGTTCCTCGTACATCCAAGAAATGGAGCCCTAAGAAATGCTCGCTGGAACCAAACTGTGCTCTTTCAGTATATCAGAGCTGGGACACTGACCCTTGCCGAACCAAGAAATTCTGGACCCCAGCCCAGCCATGAACACACTCACAACCCTGATTTGCATCGATTTCATGGCTGAATGATATTAACATGTTAAAAATGATTTTACAAGCTGTCTAAACAAAACATTGTGACTCACCTAATTTAATGCTTGTAGGTCTCTCCCCTGTGCCTGGCCGTAATACATTTCATAAATCGTCCTTGGCGAGAAAGCCCGTTATTCTGCTCCTGTTCCTTGAAACAATCCACTTCCCTTTTTTCAGTTCAACAGTCTAACTTTTGTCACAGTGAAAATAACAAACTCCTAGCCAGCCCGGTTATATTATCTTTTAAATATTAGCCCTATCATTCAAGTTTTTATTGCTGTTGAAGATGTTATGTGATTGGATCTATGGTGCAGTCTTATATTCCTGAAGATTTCTTATGAAAAATGCTTATGTGGAAATATGTAAGAAGAGTATGTACCCACATTAATTTGAGCGCAAAAAAGCAAAGTAATTTTCCAGCTTACACTGGAAAAATAGAGAAAAAAGGCCTATCTTTTTGTTTGAAGTCTTAATTTTATCCTTTAACAAAATATGAAAAAAATTAAATAGAATACATTTGGATATTCATGATTCATTACATGAGATAAGTCAAAATCATTATATTGTTGTCTTATCCCTGCTGTTATCTGCCATAACTGATCGTGGACAACAGGGTTTTGCACAAACTTTTTAGCATTAAATGATGCAAAAGCTCTCCGATGCAAAACATCTCAGAAACTGCATGTATCAAATTTGGCTTTTATGGGGCTAATGAGACACTTGTTGTGCATCTACCACTTGGTGGGGAACCTGATTTAACTGAACATAACTTTTAACAGTCTATGTAAACTTCTAAGTAACAAGAAATCAATTAGATAAAAAATGTAAAAGATTAAATGAATTTTCCCACGATTTTTCAGATGTTTTGCATTTTTAATGAGGCATTGCCTCTAACGGCCCAAAGAGATGGCATATTTCTGAAAATTTGTTTGAAAAACTGAATTTTAATGCATTTGGCCAAAGTGTATGTAAACATCCGCCTAGGCCTGAGTGCTTTGCTTACAAATGACAGCGAAAACAACTATTTCTTTGCCCCCTCATCTCACTGAATGTGTGAGTTACCAAGCATGAAGCGTTCCCAGGGATGACATAACCACATTATGCTCCATGACCAATGATGGCTTCTGACTCTCTAATGGAAATATTATGTTTCTCCTGAACATGTGCTCCTTACGGATGAGAACCCATATCTTTATCCGGTCTCTGTCTTCTCTGCTTCCTGCTCCCACAGCTCAGTGTCGTTACGCCCTGGGGATGGAGGATGGCACCATCCCAGACTCTGACATCACTGCCTCCAGCGCCTGGTCAGACTCCACCGAGGCCAAACATGGAAGGTGGGAAATGTGTGTTTGTGTGTGCAGGGGTTGAACGTTACAGATTAAACTGCCGTCATTAACTGAGTAGATTTCCACATGCACAAACTTTTTTTTTTTGGTCTGAAAACTGTAATTTGTCTTCCACTTAAAGAGCAAGTTAATACCCGGCTGAAAAACGGGCTCGACAGCCGTGGTGTCATGGTGCACCGACACACCCTTGAGAACGCATCTACCTGGCAGCAGGAGGAAAATGTAATCACTGGAGAGATTTGCAGCTGTCGATAAATTGCCGTTTTAAAACCCTGTCGCTTTTGGGAAGTAAAAAATTGCACAACCAGCAGTTTTGTTATAATTAAGGTAATGTCAGGAGAACAACCACAGAGTGGTTTCCATTTCTACAAGCTCGTTTGGATGTGTGTCTGTCAGTGGTGGATCTCAGAGGTTATTTTCCTGTCATTGCATGCTCTCTCTGGTTTATTATTGCGAGATAATGCTTTGCACACATTGCATAAATCACCATGCAATGTCATTGTAACACTGACATAAATTATTATAGACGTGATGTCCACTGTGGTGCATTACATGTCTTAAAAACCTGTGAGTGAGTTTTATAGCATTCAGAAATGGAAGGAGCCCATCAACTGTGTGAAAAAAGTGGAAAAGGTTTTTCAAGTTTTTAATACAGTGCAAAAATAACAACACCAAACATGTGAACTGCGTGGCATTGGCAGTAAATGGATTTTGTCCTGCAGAATGGCAGGTATTGCCATTTTTAAATTTAGTTTGTATTTTCTTTACTGTTGGCTTTTAAAAGAAGTCTTTATAAAGAACACATAATCACCACTTTGAATAGCAGCACGGACTGAGACTTGATATGGTGGATTTAATACCCTGGTACCAGTCCCCTGAGTCTGGAGTGCTGCCCGCCTCTGATTTGTTCCCTGAATCACATCCAGTTGTGTGTTTGTGTGCTCCTAAGTGTCACCGAGTGCATATTAAAAAAGATAGTCTGCGGTTGTATTTTAACTTACTGTCTTTACACTAATATTGGACGGCGAGTATTCTGAACCTTTATTTGTCCACACCGCCTGATCTCAGGAGCAGTTCTCAAGGCTCTGTGAAGGCCATGGCAAAGACTTTTCTCTGGACGATGGCTGCTCTTTGCTCAGCTCTCTGTAAAGATAATCCCACACTGCTCTGATAATGTTGAACTACAGGCTCCGAGGAGGATTCATCCTTCAGACCTGTTGCCATTGATTTTCAGTCTATTTTTTCCCCATTTGGCATAACTCAGCCACTGCACCATTTCTACTGAGACTTTAGCTAACAGTAGATGGATCAGCTTATACTCCAGACACATTTTTCAGGTCCTGAGTCAGGTCTTTACTGGGTTTTTGTCAGTTTCTTAAGACCATTGCTTAATTGCATAATTTGCATAATAATTCAAGCTAGTCAACATAGTTACGAATAGAAAAAGTGGAGGCTTTTTTGTGTTTAGTTTTGAATGTGGAATCGGTTGTAATGGACCTTAGAGCAGCAGGTGTTTTGTTCCATAGTGAAGGATCTCAGTGGCTGAAAACAACCTCAGACTTTGATTTAAATCTGGAAAAAGCTAAAAGGCCTACTTGGAATGACCTGAGAGACCCGTGTTTAATGGATACGTCAGAAGGGTTTAAGAAAGCGTCTGTTCTAAAGGGTCCACCATTGCAGGACTTTTAGAAATGGAGTGCTATGTTTAAATTTCCATGCTTGTGCTGGAGCTCTGGCTGCTGCGTTCTGAATGAGTTTTAGTCATCCTTTTGTTATCCTGATTGTTTGGAATCTGCAAATAAAGCATTGCTGCCGTCTGATTCTCTGTATATGAAGACAAGGACCAATTTCTGTCTCAGTTTGAGATAAAACTTCCTTTTTCAGGTAATCAAATGTTGTATTGCAACTATTCACCTGGCTTACAGGAGAAAAACAAGGACAAACTATAGTGAATCTTTGTGCTGCATCAGAGTTAACCAGTCAGAGTCCTGTTGTAATAAATACATGTTACCCATCCGTCTGCTTTTTACATTCCCTTATTCCAAGGCAGGGTCAGGACGAGCACAGAATAGCCAGCTTGTCCGGCCCCTTGCTCTTATGGATGGGTTCCAAAGGTGATTGGCCAGTTTGAAACTAAGGATCCAACCTGACTACCAGATGCGTATCCTCTTCTGGTAGTTAGATGCTTTGTGAAGAGTATAGAAAGGTGAGCCTAGAAACACACTCAAAGGCAAATTGACATTTCCCTTTAACGAACATCCATGCCATCTGCAAAAAAAAAAAGAAGTGATTTTTATAACATTGCTCCAAAGGAATAGAAATATATTTCCATTACTGTCTCTCGATGTGCAGACTGAAGTTGTATACTCAATTTTTAAGGTGGTCTGTAACTGAGCTGCTAGCTTCCTCAAGTCAGGTGAAATATTAGTCAGTGTTGATGAGCCGGTTGGATGGTGTTGGTCACGCCAATATGAGCATCAGCAGAATGGCGCTGTGGGGCTGCTGCATGAAGCATGGGACAGTTGTGATGGTGGAAGGAATACAGGAAATAACAGGGTGATGCATGCACATTGTCATCGGCGATGGAGTGATGAGCGAATCTCTGTCAATTCTCCCTCACATAACTTGAATCCCTTCAAAGATGAGATTTATCTCTGTTGTTACTTCACTTGTCATTGTAAACAGATTTTTTTTCTCTAATGGTGAAATACTAATTGTAGTTTTTGATTAGAAACATTGCTGGAAGGGATGATAACATTTTTAAATGATAATTGATAATTAACTGAGAAAAAATAAGCAAGCTAGACAGATTTTTTGTGTGTTTCAGCTGTTTCACATGTATTCCCTGTAAATGTCAATTCTTGCCTAGTTTTGATGTTTGATGAGATTTCGTATAAAGTTATTGTGTTTTTTCAGCATAAAGTGACCCCTGTGGAATACAGTTTGCCTCATGATTATGCAGGCAGCGTCGCGTTCAGCCTCTACCTGAGTAATATGTAAATCAAGTAATGGCACTAGTGTAGACTAATGTGTTTGTCTGCGCACCTTATTTTCAGTCTGTTGGCACCATGGCAAGTCATTTTGAAAGTCTATTAGATTATGATTGAAGATGATTGTGTGTGTCTTTATAAAACCCGCTTTGTAATTATATTACCTCCTTGTCTGTCTGGCAGTGAGCTCACACTCAAAAGCAAAGCTGAACTGTAACATGTTACAGCCACGTGGAAGAGCACTCGCAGGAACGTGTGTGTGTGTGTGTGTGTGTGTTTGTGCTCATTTGTCCCTGTTGGTTTGTTGGGTTGGGTCTCTTGGCTGAGAGTGCAACCATGTGGAAGTGATTATTAGCCTGGGCTCTTTTTAAGACACATTAGGGAGACCTTGAGAGAGGAAGAGAGAAAACAGAGAGAACAGCAAGCATAAAGTGAAAAATGAAAAAGAAAACGAGTGAAAGGTGCACTGCCGCAATGGGGTGCTGAAAGCTGGGGAGGAATGGTTAATGGGCAGTGTTGTAGGGGAGAGATGCAAAACCAGCATGTTTTCTGTGGCTGTTATTACTTTTGGCCAGTAAAAATATCAGCATATTGGAAAAGATGGATGGAATGGTGGAAATGAGAACAATGGGAAAGGGATAAAGAGTTGGCTGGTAATAAAACAGTAAGCAGGACGCAAAACGCCGACAAAGGGGGAAAATGAGGTATTTTTGCAGAGTAGCGCCCTGTAATATTAATCCTGCAGGCTGGTGCATTTTGGCCTGAACTCAACCGGGCTGTGTTCCTCCTCCCTCTTTCATAAGACTTTTGGTGGAGCACTAATGTGTTATCATCCTCTGGCTCCTAGCTACATCATCTCACCCACTGAGAGGGGAGCAGACCTGATTAAAAACCCAAGCGCCAGCGTCAGTGTGACAGAGTAGATATAGTGATTTGTTTTGGTGGTCGGAACAGCAGCTTTCATTTTGTGAGAAAGCCCACGGTGGTCGGAGAGCGGTTGTGGCCTGGCGTTTGCTCCAAAGCTCCTTGTGTGAGTTGATCCAACATCAGTCACAAAGCCAAGACTGCGGTCTCCGTGTGGCCAGAATGTGGTGCTCGTGTGAGCTCGTCTCCTCCGGTGGGGCTGAGGAGGGTTGGGTTGATGTCTGTGGTCGTGCTAGGTGCCTCAGACCTGACGCTTTACTCCAGAACCTGTCATCGTTTTTGAAGAATTGGAAGCAACCCATCATTTTTACCCTGCACATTTCATCTTATTTGCTTTATTCATGAGCAGAATGTGTTTCTGTATTTTCCATCAGTCTTTAGGTCTGTCTTTCTGCTTCTGTCTGTCAGCCAGCATTACACTACAGATATATAAGTATCTGGCTGCTGTGGGATCTAAATATTCTCCATGGAAGTAGAGTAGAGTTTGTTGAGTTGTTTAATTTCACTTGTACACATGCTGTTCGTTCTGGGTTTTGCAGTTTGGGCAGGGGTCTGAAATGAAGAGAGGTTTTTTTTTATTTTTATATCAACTCCTTTTCAGTTTACTTAGAGTGTCTCTTTCTGTGTCTCAGGTTGAGCACCGGAGAGGGCGATGGAGCTTGGTGCCCAGCAGGACCCGTCTTCCCGAGTGGATCAGAATACCTCCAGGTCTGTTACTCAGTTCAGTCGGATCCTCTGTTAAAATCCACGCCTGAGCTGTATTAACCATTAATGTGATAACAAATTATGGCTGTCAGATGTCTTTTAAGTTATACCAATGGGTGTTTTTGGCTTATGTGGCCCAGAGCCAAACTGGTTTCCTTCCATAATGGAGTATAAAACTTTCAAATAAACTCTTTCTGCAGTGCATCGTGTTTATTTTGTTTCAAAGTCCATACACAGTCATATTTTAGTTAAGTTAGTCTTTGTTAAGTTGGACAGTTCAATATTGATATGTTGTGATGATTACACATTGATGGCGCTTTGGGGAAGTTGAGGTTAAATGTTTTTGTTTGGCTCCAAAGCAGGTGAATGTATTCATAACGGATGCAGAGGGATGGTTTCTCATTCCTGTGCTCCTGCTTTTACAGTTTTCAGTGCCTTTACCAGGAATGCTGGAGATCCTTTTGAGTCAGTGATACTTCCACATCCCTTTGGACAAACTACTAATTTTCCCCACAAAATCACTAGTGACCCTTTTTATCTCCACAATGTTGAAAACATTAAACCTGCCAGTGGGAATGATGTACTCAAGATTCCCCCTCTCTGAAAAGATTCCTCTTTCTCCAGCTGATGACTGCCACTGTATCGGACCAGCAGAAAAGATTTCTACCTTTGTTCCACTGTTTGTTGTATCAAACTAAATTCAGAGTGCACAAGCGAACAAGACAAGCATGCATAAACAATGTGTTTAAATGTCTTCATTTTTCATAATTGGTTCATATTAAAATTTCATAGAAGAATTTTATGCACCCAAGTCTGTATTGTAGTGAAGTGTGTGTGTGTTTACAAGGTGTTTTATAATCTGTAGGTTGACCTGCGCAAACTCCACTTCCTGGCTCTGGTTGGTACCCAAGGTCGCCATGCCGACGGTCACGGCCAGGAGTTTGCCCGCAGCTATCGACTCCGTTACTCTAGAGATGGAGTGAAATGGATTACCTGGAAGGACCGCTGGGGTCAAGAGGTCAGAAAGACTTCTTTCAACTCTCCTTAGTTAAACGAAAACAAGAAATCAATGTTTGATGCCTGAAGAGGCATCAGTAGCAAAGTGAGTTTCTTTAAATGAGGTACAGTTTTTATCAAAGGTGGAGACTGATCGGTTTCAAGTAAACATTACTTATTTATAAAGGGGAACTTTAGATTTATGCCACAACTTTAAACTTTTTTGTAAGAATAATTCTGCTCAGAAAGGTGGCTTGCCTTGTGCAAATAAAGACATTTCTTATTCCACTTGGTAGGTTTCCAATATTTTCTTAGGTGATAGGTCCAGCTCTGTGTTATGTACCACTATCACAAGATAGTGTAAGAATCTGCCTTTTTCCAGATTATGTTTGGGGAAGGAGCCACACTGTTTCTCATTTTCTGCTATTATTTTACTTGTAGGATGGACAAGCAAAAAATATTCAGAATTTTTAAGCCGATTTAAATCTGTGGGTGAAAAGAAAACTGCCTGGAGCTCACACTCTGAGATCACTCAGACTTTGCCCTCTCTGTGTTCAGACGGTTCATTTGATCTCTTAGATGAATCGAAATTGAAGATGTTCTGAATAAAAAGTCGGAGCCTTCAGGCAAGACTTATTAAACCCTACAGAAAATTGGAGAGACATTCAGAGAGATTTTTTTAAAAAAGTGGTGTACTGTGTAATTGAGTATTTGTACTTGTGTCCCCTTTAGGTGGTGTCGGGTAATAAGAACACCTATGAAGTTGTGCTGAAAGACCTGGGCCCCCCTATTGTGGCCCGCATGGTCCGCTTCTATCCCCTGGCTGACCGCGTGATGAGTGTTTGCCTTCGAGTGGAGCTCTATGGTTGTGTGTGGAATGGTAAGTGTGTGTGGAAGTGACATGATTACAAAGATGCACAAATTATTATGCTTGTAAATCTGAAAAAAAAACCTTTTTCGATCTTGATACAACTGAAAAGATCTCATATGTTGAAGGTGACTGAGTTTGCACATTTCCTCAACACAAAACAGTGATTGCAAGTGCATGTTTTTGTGGCCTCTGAGGGGTTTGACCAGATAAAACAAGCCGCGGACTGATAAATGGTGTTGGTCTCAATGTTTCCTGAAACACAACACTGACTATTTATGACTGGTTCATCTCTGCTGCCCCTCCACCTCCCTCTGACAGCATGAGGGTGCCCATAAATCTGAGTTGTCAGTGAGTGGAAAAGACACAGTTCCCGTTCTGTCTTCAGGGAGAGCATCTCTTTAAAATATGCTCCACTGAGGTCTCTGGGGTGCAGCAGCTGGGTTCGACTTCAGGCCAGAGATTTAACAAATGTCAAGTTTTGAAGAGCCTTGTGTGTGTGTTTTTTATTTATTTTCATCTTAAAACAGACTGAACGGAGACGACACATCGTCTTTCCTGTGTTTATTTAACATCCAGGGTGGACCTGCTTGACCCCTCATACACTCTCGCGCACACGTAATCACTTCCACAAACCATCACTTTGAGCAAACAGAGCAGGCTGCACTGTAAATGGTTTGTGAAGCAGTGTTTATTATGTGTATCGGAGCCGTGGGCGGCAGCCGGTGTCACTGACGTCTCCCCTGCTCTCGGGGAGCCGGCTGATTAGCTGCGTATTAGAGCGCAGGGGTTAGAGTTTCATGGGTTGCCGGCGGATGGGGACGAGCGGGGCCTGAGAGGCCGCCCTTTTGGTTTGTTTTACTACTGAAAAACCAGCTGTAGCAGTTTCCCCGTCGGATGCCGCCTCAGTAAACACACAGCTGCTCACGCCGAGGAAAAAAGAAAGAAAAAATCAAACCGGTATTATTTTGCATAAATTCATCATCTGCTGCTTGACAAGAAAGATCCCTTGACTTATTTTGTATTGATAAATGGCTTTGCTTAAATTTTGAGCTATTTCTAATTGGCTACAAGTGATGTTACTAAAGGCTTGTTTTCAGCTGTTTTGATGTTGTTTCGGTGCCTGCAGTGAGAGTGAGGCAGGCCAACTTATTTTTAAGGATCATCTCAATTTAAAATGACACTGCATTGGCAGCCAACTTTGCTCATTTACTCTAAAGTCTTATCGTATATTTTCAGGGTGTCTTTGCAGAGAACCGCTTTTTGAAAGTGAAAAGCAATGTTTTCTAAAGCGCTTGCATTTAAATTAGTGTGTGTTGCTCTGAAACTAACTCACACAAAAGTGTGTTTTGTTTCAGTACTTTCTGAGTGATAATGCATTCCCTTCCAGATGGACTGAAGGCTTACACGGCTCCGGTGGGTCACGTCATGCACTTGCCTGGTATGTCTGTGTTTCTGAACGACTCCACCTATGACGGGAGCACAGAGCAAGGGTAAGAAATGCAGCTGCACCTTATTCCATTTCCGTTCTTCGCGCATGCATGCAACTTTTTGATGGAGATGAGCAGATGTGGGCTCGTTGTCCCTCAGAAATGGTCTGTGGCACATTTGACATTGATGGACTAGATTTTACAGCCGTAAATGTGGGATGAAATGCGGAAAAAAGCATCTCTGCAGTACTCATCACCTCTGCTTGAAGTGAAGCGAGGTCGCAGCCTTATCCTGCCTCCAAAGTTTTTTTTTTTTCTGTGTTGCTAATCGAAAGCGAATGACATTATTTTTCTTAGTCGCTCAGGGGTTTGAGGCATGTTTCCTGACCATAATGTTTAGCAGGGTGCAAAGGAGGGGTAAACCAGGAATTTGGAGTGGGCTGGGGGTGGGGTGGGGGTCCACACTTGCACAGGCTGTGCAGTTAATGGGGCTGAAATGTTTTTCTAACGGGTGAGCGAGCAGTTTTGATGTAATCCAGACGTATTTCTAGCAGATGTACGTGTGAGGGCCTGTACATCTGGGGTTTGAAGCCGGATTTGTTGACCCTATTGTGTTGCTTTGTGTCTGCCGTGGTGCGCCCGCATGTGCGGCGCTGGGGTTTGCTCGTCCACGCTTGTCTGTGTGCACAGTTATTTAATCACCTTGGTGTTGCTACATGAAGGAGTTTGGACATGGAAAGCAAAAAGCGCAACACAACATTCTTATTTCTGTGCAGTGTTAAAAGCAGCTGTGATTGTGTGTGTGCAGGATGCAGTTTGGAGGCTTGGGCCAGCTCTGTGACGGTGTCCTGGGGGAAGACGACTTCATACAAACCAAAGAGCTGAGGGTGTGGCCCGGGTACGATTACATTGGCTGGAGCCGGGAAGCTCTCGGACAAGGCAGCGTGGATATCGAGTTTGATTTCGAAAAACCTCGACTCTTCAACACCATGCAGGTAGGCGCCGAAGGTTGTGCGTTGTGTATAATCTGCTGTGAGTAAATAAGTCAGCGTCATAAGCGGCTGTTCAAAGGTTCTGAACCTCCCTTCGTTTCCTTACATTCTGCTTCAAAGGAGTTCACAGTTTTTTTTTATCTTCGAGCAATAGTTTTCCAGGCTTTCTGACGGCTTTCAAAGTTTTTCTTGGACATCTGCTTTTTTCACTTCTCTTTATTCCAGTTGTTCTATCTACCAATGTGACACTTAACACAGCCTGTTGAGGGTGTACCCTGCTTTCCAACGAATGGCATCATGGATGGGCTCCATAAGACCCTTAATGCGATGACATGGGTATAGAAAAACATAACACTCAACTAAGACTAATTTAAGCATATTTTAAGCATAAATAAGGTAAAGTACTGAAACAGTGTGTGGCTCGTGTCATGTGTCCACACAACTAAAGAAAGAGCTAGTTTCTGCAGATTGGAGGTTAATTGACAGGTGGACCCTCGTTCTTAGAAATGTATCTATTGCAGATGAACAGTATCTGGAACCAGTGTCATAAAGAAATGATAAAGAAATAATCCTACCGCTGACCATCCATATATTATTCATTGAAGCCTCATCAGAGATGGGCTCCATGGAAGTGTGGCTGTCAAAATTGTATTTTTAAGGAAGGGAGAAAATGCTGAGGCATGCCAAATGGCACAAAAAAGTGGACTCAAAATGCGTCTGATGGAGCAACTTAATTAAACTAAATGTATTTGTCCAAATTTATCAGGTCAGTCAAGGAAATTAGGATCCTATCCAGATTATTATTATTGTTGTTATAAACACAGAAAGGTTCTGTCTGATTTTGCTCCAGCAAGCAGTAACATCTGGAGCGATGCTTTTATTTTACCTCATGTCAGTGATTGCAAACATACTGTAATGACACTAATAAATCAGCTGCTATCAGTCATGGACCGAGCAGTGAGGGCTCGTCTTCACAGAGTGCACACAAAAGGCAGCCTACATTCAAAGGAGAGCTTAAAGAAGCTTTCAAGAAGCCTGTAGAATGGTTCCTGAAGACTCCTTAAAAAATGACGGGAAAGCTTGTCTAAGAGGGTACTGGCTTCCAAAATGGTACAAATGCAGTTTTTCCCTAAATGCTGTACCCCCATTTGTGTGAATCTGGTCAGGATTTTAATCATAACATGATTAATGTTATGATAAAAAATGCTCAATTAATAAATTCTTTTGGTCATCCGATTAGCTCAGAACGAGCATGTTATTGTACGTGGTGGGACTTTAGCCTGATTCTTCTCTCTCCTAATAAAACTCCTTTGAAATTCTGTTTTCCAACAGCACTGTTGTGTGTTTCACTTTAATCTGCCGTCCCAGGCATCAACATTTTGTCTGGAATAGCTCTGCGGCCATTTAATTAGTTTGGGTGCACCATAGTTTATGACAGGACAGTGCATCTGTGCTCGTCTCTCTGGCAGCCACCAAATTGCATCAGTCTGTTTGTGAGTCTGTGTGGCTTTTGGGGTTAGTTTGTGCAGCAAAGAGGGGGGATAATAATATGAAGCAACCCTGTTAGAGTTATAACTGTGTTGCCTCTCCGGAATGTTGGTTTGGGTGCGATGCACTCTCTACATGCTAACATTGAACCCCCTGAATCTGCACTCTGTCTTATAAAGAGACAACTAATATTCAAGAGGTTTTACAAAGACTCAAGGTTTCTGGATGCTGAGTGTGGCTTTTTTTTATTTTGTCCATATGTTCTTTGTCATTCTAGTTTATCACAGTTACAATTTAAAACCTCTCCTAGTGGTGTTCCTGTTGTTTTTCCAAGTCTTATCCAGCTTTTCCTGAGTATTCCCTGGTGGTTTTCTCACACTAACCTCAGCTGACGTACAATGTTTTGCTTGCCTGGCTGAGCGGATATGTCAGACACACAGGTCAAATAAATAAAGAATGGGAATCTGAACCTAATTCTTGCTTTACTTGTCTCAGCAGGACAGAGTTCCTTAACTTGTGTCTAATCACCATCCCAAAGGGAAATCTGCTCTTTAACCTCTTGACAGTCGTGACCTGGCCTTCTCACTCCTCTGACAGAGAGGGGACGCACTCGGATCTGCTTTCTGTCAAGCTCCACCGCTGCCCTTTGGGGGTTTTTGTGGAACTTTTCTTCCCCCTCTAGATTATGTGAAACTAAACTCAAAGATCACACAGAATTTAAATTGCAACTTAGATTTATGATGAAACAAGCGAAACTAATGCAGCGTTATTTTCTCAAATTAAGGTTTTTCCAGTTCATTGGAACTGTACTCTGTCGGGGAGTTGCGAGTTTCTCTGGTTCTGTGTACGTTTTGGACCCCTACCAACATCCTACACACACCCAAACACCCAGACAGAAATGCTTACATGTCAACCCAGCATCTGGAGCAGCTGTTTGTCCTGCATCTTGCATGTGCGCGCGTTAACATGTGGATTAGGTTAGAATGAATAGTCCCGGATTGTGAGGTCAGTAGCCAAACTGTCAGAGCAGATCCCAGGACCACTCTTCTTTCACAGAGGGAAATCCCTTCTCGTTTTTCTTTTCTCAGATCTATAATTTTGACCTCTCGCTTGATCATTTAAGCACCATCTATCCACATCCTTCTCTCATCTCCATGAGCTCTTTTTCCAATCATGCCTCATTTATTACACAAACTTTTATGGATTCTTCCCTCGTAGAAAGAGGAAATAAATAATTCACCCGCTGCTGTCTTTTGGCCCTCCTCTGTCATGTTCTGTCTTTTCATTCTTGCTGTCATTCCTTTCCATGTTCTACTTCTTTTCCCGTTTCTCTGCACCAAGTTGCGCCAAAGCAATTACAACTTATCAGGAAGAAAATGTGCCATTAATTTAACGTGTTAATTGAATCTTTTCCGTGTATTTGAGTGTATTCCCATGTGCAGGTTGTGGACTTTCTAACAGACTGAACCTCTTTCATTTCTCCCAATAGGTGCACAGTAACAACCGCCACACTCAGGGCGTGCGAGTCTTCAGTAAAGTAGAGTGTGTTTTTAAGCCTGGGCTCCTTCAGCCCTGGTCCTCTCCTGCGCTCACCCTGCCCGTGCCCCTTGAGGATCTAAAGGACCCTTCCTCTCGACCCATTTCCCTCCCACTCGGTGGCCGGCTGGCTCAGATCCTCCGCTGCACATTCTACTTTGCAGATCGCTGGCTGCTCATCAGCGAGATATCCTTCCTCTCTGGTAGGAAACTCTATTGGAGTGGTCAGTTCTTTCATCTTAGAAATCTGTGTCCTAAAATGCAGGGCTCAGTTAGGGCTGGAGTGCTTCTGTTTCAGGTTTGCACTTACGTCAGATTTTCTTTAGCAGCTACGTGTTCCAAGCCTTTCAGTCGGGGTGCTCTTTGCAGGCTTTTGAACTCAAAGGTTTTTTAGACAGAATGCAGAATACTTTGATATTTTTTTTGTACTTAGTTACATATTTGGACGATCAGAATATTCCCTGAAAACATTCTTAAATAGAAAAGTAGAAGCATAATCTACTGTATACACGTCTGCAACACTATGTGTTACCTGAAGTTGTTTTTCATTGACAGTGAAGAAATAAGTAGCACCCCGTCGTGTTTTTATGTTCAATGAATGCAGGTTATCTGACTTATAATTATTTTCAGATTCTTTTTTGAAATAGCAAAGAAAAAAAGTCTGACAGCATCAGATGTTATTATAGAAAACCCTAACACTTCCAAGGTCCACAAGATGGTTGACAGACATCTTGGAGTCTGTTTCAACAGACTGTAATAATATTGAGAAATTTCAGTCATAAAACAGTACAGGCACTTACAGGACGGGGTGCTGAGATGAAGGTTAGTGGGAACTGGTGAAGATGGATGTGGATGATGGAACAAAAAGAAAAGAAAAAAGGATGACTTAGACTGATCTGAAATGATGTTTTCAGTACAGATAGATAAACCAAAACCGGCTCCATGGGGGAAGTTCACAGAGGAAAATACTGCTGAAAAAATGGCACAAGTAAATTCTTATTTAATTTATTTGTTATCAGTTTGTTTTAATCAGAAATTTTGTGATAGAAAAAGATTACCAGTTCAAATTCTTAATCTTAATGGTGAAAATGAACCATTTTCACCTTTAAGATAAGCCGGCATGCTGCATTTAAAATGATCCTTTTCAGGAGTTTTTTCTTCTTGTACTTTTTGTAGGGAAGCTTTATATAGAGAGTTAAAGTTGAATGAATCCAAAATGATTTGACTCGAGTATGTTGCCTTGAAAATAAATAGCCCTTTGATTACACCCTCAAACTTTGATAAGTTTAGAAAGTTAATCATAATCTCCTCCACAATCTTTTCTGTTCCTGGACTGAACAGTCTCGTGTAGCAAAAGCATCTTAAATATTAAATGAATTTGATTGGAAGCCAGATAGACATTTCTCTGCTCTCCATGGGGAGATAACTGCGAGTAATTAAACTGCCCTCTGTCTCAGTTCTAGTGTGATAACAATCAGCAAGGTGCTGTGTAATCACACCAGGCCTGGGTGACTGAAATGACTTTACTTAGCAGCGATCCGACACGTCTGCCTGCTGGGCTTATTTCAGACTGATAATAAATGACACAGAGGAGCAGTTGCACCAGCTGTACGGCTGGTAACTCATGCTGGCAGAAAGCTAGCTGGAAGCTGCGAACTGGAGTTATCACCACCAAAAATACTAAATAATACACCTGCATGTCTGCAAACAAGCCCACTCTCATTCTGGGTGGAGGGCATGTGATGGATCCAAAGATGATGTCTGAACAGTAGTGGTAGTTGGTAGTTTCACACCAAACTTGAACAGCTCTTCAAAATCTTGCCTTTTAACTTCATATCGTTTTATGTCTGCACAGTTTTTCTCCATTTAAATAAATCACTGGAACTATGGCTTGTTTTGTAGGGAGTATGTAAAGAAATGATGAGCGTGTCCTGATTTTCTCACAGTCCTGTAAACCTTTTAGAGCTCATTCTTGGAACATTGACTGGCCACCTAACTGGGATTAGCAAATTATCAGCTTGTCATTCTAGCTCATGCGGAATATATCGGTTTCTGCTCAGAGTGAAACCCGATTAAGTCCCATGTAATGAGTTACATTTGTCTACAAACACCACCCACTGTGGGCACAATCACTGTTTCTCAACCAGAAGGTTTTTCATGCCAAAATAAAAGTCTCCTATAGATACAACAGAGTTCCTTGTCATTAAGGTTGTCTCCCTTTTCTCTATCTTTTTCCTCATCCAGAGCCGTTTGAAGAAGATGTCACAGACACCAATTTATTGCCACATAATCCTCCCAAGATTCCCGTCGCCAGCTCCATTCCTGCTGTTAATTTTACTACCTCTTTTTCCACATTGAGTCACAGCCCCTCCAACGCCACCACCGAGCCTTCTGGTGAGTCCAGCTCAGCTCCTCTTCCCCACAACAACCGACCGATCACTCCAAATCATGCCTTCTTTGGTATCATTTTTCTATATACCAAATACTCTGTCCCTTCTTTTATCCCACCTGCCCCTATAGTTTACCTTAACTCTCTGTTATCACCTCTGTTTTTTTATTTTCTCAAGGCGTAGCGACTGCGAGCAATTCAGTGGCCATTTCCTAAACTTTGCCAAAGGAAGCACGTGTTTAATTAATTTCGATCTTAGAATTTCCTTGAATTCTTTTCCTGAACCAGGGTTGCTGCCAAATAGTTATCTCTCAGACTTCAATGCACTTAAAGAAATCTTGCTTCGAGTTAAAGGTCAATCTCATTCATATTTCTCACCATTATTTTTTAAAACATCAAAGTTCAGCTTTAAAAAACCATTGTGAAGATTTAGAGATTTTTGCTTTGAGGGCTAAAAATCCTGCTGAGCCAGAATCCTGCTGTCCATGACTTTCTCTCCTCGTTCCTCTCTTCTGAGTTTTCATCTTCTCTCTTCTCACACATTCCTCCACTGTCCATCCCTCGCTCCTCCAGAACCACCCACTGCCACCACGTTCATGATGGACACCACTGGTAACTGGACACTGTCAGGTGAGACATGCCCCCCCCTAAAAATAATAAAAAGAAAAAAGGTGAACCAAGGGAAGGGCTCTCTCTTCATCCGCTCTGGCCTTTTTCCAGTGTCTTAAAACTCCCCATGCTCAGTAGACTCTATGCAGTATAATGAAGCACGGACTCCATGTTCAGGATTTGGCACTGGGCTCCATCCCCAGAGTTTGAAGATAAACAGCACGAGGGGAAAAAAAACTAACCGAGCTATAGTAAATTATATTTACACCGAATAACTACTTGGCTTCCTGTGGTCTCCCAAACTGCATGTTTTGTTGTGGCGCCCGCTCTAGTCGACACAACTAAACAATAACAGGCTTTTTAAAAAGCTGGAAATGGCTCTCTGTGGCGTGTATGTTGCTTTGTACTTGTTACTGTGTGTGGTTGGATGGCTTTGCCTGGGTTATTTGTTACGCACATGGTGTTTAACTGACAGCGAGATGAAAATGAAGGGATTGTATTCTGATCTGACAGAGTAACGCATCAGACACTGTCAGATGAATGCATGGATTTGGGTGATGGGATCTCCATTATGTCTCTCTGTGCAAACACACAGTTGGTTTTAAAATGCATAGGGTGCACGTTTCATTTTTCTATTTTCCAAAACTGAATTTATTCCATAAAGATGGCCTTAAGAGTTTGTTTCTGAGCAATGTTTACGCTGAGCGGCACGGAGAAAAAGTCTTTCATCCTTCATGCAAATAACATGCTCCATTTGACCTTCAAAAGAGCAAAAAAACAAATGATTCTGATTAATTCTTGACTACAAAGCTATTGGGAAGCAAAAGCACTCTGACAGACTGTTCCCGGAGCAGCGGGCTAGAGAGGCTCGAGGGGGGACGGCGCATAAAAAGCGCACACTCGAACTGACAGTGTGTGTCAGATGTTGAGTAAGCCTGGCGAAACCCTGTTGGTGTGTTCCCCCAGTAAGTGCGTGACTACTCTGAGAGGGCTAATACCACTGGCTGAACTGTGCATTGACGGATGCCAGTGTGTGCTGTTACACACACACACACTCACACACACACAACACAAACCAACACAAGAGCTGCAGTTAACTAGTTTGAGGATTCTTTGGAATGATGAGAATTTGTGTGTCGATTACTGCGAAAAATGTGGTTTTATCTTTATTTTGGTCACAATTCTGGAGAAGCATAATTACACCCAACAAGCTGTGCCTTTATTTAACACATGGAGCAACCACTTACAGCACATTGACAGTCTGGAATAACATCCTCCATTTAAGCTTCTTTGACTCAGGTGTTCCTGTTAAAGGTGCACTGAGGGTTTACTGTTTAAGATGAGTGTTTCAAACTCAGCCCTCCCTTCTCCTGAATGCAGAGTAATGCTGTGCTCAGTGTACCTCAGGGTCAAGAGCAGCAGAAAAACTGCTTGGGTCATGGTGTAAGTTGCCTTCTTGGGAAAGCACACTTTAGACGGCATCCTGTAAATCCAAATACTAATTTTCCTAATTCAGAGATCAGATAGTGAGACGGCATATTGAGTCTGGTGTTTGGCTTCAGCAAATAGGAATGATGAATCTTTATTTACTGATTGTTTCGCATACGTTGTGCTCTCAGACCAAATAACCACTTGTGAAGAGGCTACACTGGTGCATTTAATTCAGTTTTACTTAATTAAGAGTGTGTGGGGGGCTTGCCAAAGCAATCACTGTCATGGCTGATGTCTACATACAATGTGTACAAATGTTTCAGCCCAGTAATGGGCCGCCACTCACTTCTCGTGAATCATGAGGTTTCGATTTAGAGTCATTTGTGCTTACAGAAAAAAATCTGTTTTTATTGGGGAAGACTAAAGAATGTTAGCGCTTTACTCACAGAGAATAACAGGAAAGTTTAAGCTTGAAAGCTGGGAAAAGCCACAAAGGATTGTAGGACCTGGCTGTTCATCACTCAACACTGAACCGCATGAAACTCAGGACTGCCGCTACTTTCCAAAAGGAAGAAGAACGCTAAGCAAATATCACAGATAAGAAAACAACCCCACTCATGAGAAAGTGAATAATGGAGCAGCAGCAAGATACCATTAGACAACCAAAAAAGGGTTAATTTGGGATCTTGTTCAGAGCTTAATGCAAGATTTCACTTCCTTTCTTCAGCCTGTGCTACGAGTGATTGACCAATGTGTTTAATAATTACGTGATGAGTACAGAATGTGTATCTGGAAATCCCAGCATTTCCACATTTTGCAGGCGTGCACACATAATATCGGAGTCACAAACATCAAATGGTTTCAGGCCCTGTTTAACAGTTCATCTCCTGATTGCCTTCCTCAGGTCAAGAATTTGAACTTGTCACTCAAAGGGTGGGGCTTCCTGAAGCCAAAGAGGACAGCAGTGATACAGCCATTCTGATTGGCTGCCTGGTGGGCATCATCCTCCTGCTGCTGGCTGTGATAGTCGGCATTCTCTGGAGGCAGTACTGGAAGAAGATTCTGGGCAAGGTGGGTCAATATTGAGGTCACCTACTGTATGAATGAAAATGAAAAGTGTTTTGTTAGCTCAACTGTCTATTTTAACTCATTTTAAGGGACTGACAAATGCCAGTCTTTCGGGGGGAGAACCAATACACCCACATCTGGACGCGTTTTGGGAATCCTTTGACATTTCCCGCTAATCGTTCAAAAATCAACTGAATTAATCAAAACATTTGATCAGGCATCTGCTGAAGACACCCACTGATTTTACCTCCATTCAAGCGACGCCTCCTCTCCTTCCAGGCCCAGGGCAGTCTGTCCAGCGATGAGCTCCGAGTTCACCTGTCCGTCCCCTCGGACAACGTGGTCATCAACAACACGCACAGCTACTCCAGCCGCTATCAGCGCATACACACTTTTCCTGACGACCGCGACCATGAAGCAGAGGGAGAGTACCAGGAGCCCAGTGCTCTCCTGCGGCCGAGGGATCAGAGAGACAGCACCGGTCAGTCCCAAACCACCTGACTGCACATTTGTCCAATGCATTTGTACATTTTGACAGTAATATTGTTATATTGCACCTATTAGGAATCGTTTTTTGTTCCGCACAGAAGTAGTTTTTTTACATTAGCCTTGCGGCCTGGTTAGAAGCTGACATGTACAATGATGGCGTGATGTAAAACATGCCACACGCGTGATGACTTTGATTGATGAGACGTCGGCTGCACACAGCTGGCGTAGCATTTACACAAAGTGTTACACGGCAACACATTCCACATTCATAATATTTAAATAAATTCCTACTCTCATGTATGCGGTTTTCACAGATTGTTCTGTTTGCACGCCTTTTGGAAAACGGCAGAAGAAAGCATTCGTTCGGCGTGCAAATCCGAAAAACAGTGTCGCGACCAAATCTTTGACCGCACCAAACAGAAGTAAATCAAATCAAAACAGCCTGCAAAGAAGAGTGCCCGCATGAGGATGCACATTGTGGATGGGGGCACAAAAGAGCTATTGTTCTGAGGAAAGGGAAGAAAAAGGAAAAAGGGAGGAGAAAGAGAGCAGTTAAGAAAGGAAAGACATTCCTTTACTGGCTTTGTGCCACAGGAGGTCGGCATGCCATCTTTACTAGGCGCCTGTGTGAGTTTGAAATAACATGAGTTAACAAGCATCCATTGCATTTTGTAATGTTTGGATGTGGCCTGAAATCTGTCCACTTGCCCGTTCTCTTGTGTTCTCCCTTTGTCAGTGCAAGCCTTTCTCATCCCTCGAATCAAAATGAATTTGCTAACCATGTCGTGCTAATGAGTGTTATTTTGTCCTGCTTGGTTTTATGATTTTTGTATGATTCATTTTGTGTCTATTTGTACCTCAACATCGTTCTACACATCTCTGCCTCTGTATGTTTGTGTGTGTGTGTGTGTGTGTGCTCTCCCAGCCTTGCTGTTAAACAACCCAGCCTGTCACCTACATCTACCAGATCACAGAAATGGCTCCAGAGCCGTAGTCGTCCCCAGCTCCACTCAGGCTCAGGAAAAGAGCCTCAATGTGCCCCAGGGTAAGAGACCTCAGGACTGGGCCTACGGTCAGGAGGAGCCCCTGCTTCACTGCCCACCTGCCCTACCTGTCAATGGTGGGGCAGTATAGTGCTGTCACTTCTACTAAACATGAAAAAAATCCTTATCTTTTTTGCATGCATCTGATCGTCATCATTAATGTTACTTACAGAGTTACTCTCAATCACTCACTGCAACTAACTCTTTGCTTTAAAGGGATAGTTTAGCTCCCGAGGGAGTTGGGAAACAACTGAAACCACTGTCAGTGCCATGTGAGCAGCAGGGCTCGGAACGAGAACATGTTGGGTGCCTCAGAGTTTTCCCTTTGTTTTCGGGGTCTGCTGAATTTTCAGACGTCTGCCAAGGTTTTCAGTTATCAGGGGACACCTGGATGGACTGCCAACCATTACTTCATTTGGAGGTTTCCTTGGTGATCATTTCTCTTAATTTAGTGCCATCAAGTCATAGCTGTATTTAGTCCAAAACTTTGGTGGACCCAGTCACAGTCTCATTAGTCTCCTCCTTACTTTGCATTTTGTGGATAAGGTGGTAAAACTATAAACATGGCATGTTTAATGGAGGCAGCTTTGCTTTTGCTGTTGAAAATTAGAAGAGATGCTTAATCCCTGGGGTTGGAAGATCATGTGACTGCCATGCTGTGGGAGGCATTTTACTGGCATGGTTTTGGTCTACAAAGGTTTGGAGTTTTCAAAGTCTCAGACAGTAAGCCTCCTCTCAGACAAAGTGTAGCTAGCGCACCCGCTCCAACTTTTAGCTTCGCTTTGCCAGATTCCTGAATGCCTATAGGATCATGATTACCTTACTTAATCCCAAACCACTGAGCAAGTCAGCCAATATAACCGCATAATGCTGATGGACACAAATGCTCTGTCCTGGAATTTATTCGTTTCTGAATATGAGAAAATGCAGTAACATTACCCCAGACCTTATGAATTTGAGCTTTTCAGCAAAGTCACAAACATAAGATTCTTTTGACAGATAATACATTTCTCTTGTGAATGACCACATTAGGGAGACTCTGAATTCACAACAACTTAATTTAAGTAAACTGTTTGATAGACAGGTTTCTGATTCATTTGTTGTGGCAGCATTTGGATTAATGCTGGTTGAAAATGTTCTTATCATTTGCTTTTTTATTTCAGAGGCAAAATAAATTGGTATTCAAAGTCCTCTGCTCCCAACAAGCCCATGACTCATTTTCTGCCAGACTCTCATGTGGCACTTGTGTTCGATGCAAAGAATGCATCATCTCTCAGAGGGGCTTCAATTTTATCTGCGTGTGCAGCAGCGTTTTCTTATTTAGTTTATTAATTAACAGTTTACCCTGTTTAAGTAAGGCAGAAAAAAATCTTTTCTTAATGTCCAGACATCTGTTAAAACATTTGGGCGGCACATATTTGCAGGTCTTAGCAGTGTCTCCCATTTCATACCAATAATATGTGAGACATGCATGCTCATAAATGCAGAAGTTATTATGAGTTCTCCCTGGAAAATGGTACCAGTTGCTTCAAGGCAATCTTGGCACATTCTTTCAACCAGTGTGACTTTTAGCTTTTCCCACCGTTTCTCTAAAAACTAAATGATACCATGCTGAACACGCCACAGTGGGACACAAAAGGAAAGGCGTTGACAGATTTAATGATGCAGGACTGTCGAAATGAAGGGGATCCAGTCATACTTTTGTTTGTGTGGATATATCTGTTGGATGTCAGTTTCACTGCATAATTTTTTGCTTCAGCTCAGCATCCCAGTAGATGAATGTGCTCACTGCTGGGTACAAGACTATCAACTGTTCTTTTGCAATAATAAACAACCTTGTGATGGGTCAGAATGGCTGAATCTGTAGAAAAAAGTGCCTTGTATTATTTTTCTTCCACTATTCTTGGGCAGTTTCTTTCTGGAGCTTCTTGTATATGGTGGGAAATGCACTTTTGTACAAACACTATCCCTTGAATAGCAAATGGCTCTTCTTTTGGTTGTCTTTATTTGTTTAATTTGTTCTGTTTAGTAGAATTAGAGAGCTGCTCGGTTAGTCAGTTCTTCTCAGTTTATCTCATCGATCCACACTGTCTGCCTCTCCCCCCCCCAGCTTGTGGTTTGGACTTGGACATTGAGAAGGGCTTCCCCCCTATGCAAGAGGAGCCTCCACCTTACCCTGGGTCCCCCCCATACCCATCTCTGTCTCCGCCCGTCTCCCCCCCCCTGCCTCCCAGCGTCCCCCACTACGCTGAGGCAGACATTGTCAGCCTACAAGGCGTGAGCGGTAACAACACCTACGCCGTCCCTGCTCTGGCCTCCTCCAGCCCCGGGGCTGACGCCGCTCCGCTCCCAGAGCTGCCACGCCAGTGCCTCATCTTCAAGGAGAAGCTGGGAGAGGGGCAGTTTGGGGAGGTGAGAATTGAGCCGGACGACGGCTCGCGCAGGCAGGAAGGTTATTGTTCCTCAAACTTATCTGTTTTTGAACGAATAGGTGCACCTGTGTGAAATCGAGAACCCTCAGGACCTTCCCACCTTGGAGTTCCCCTTCAACGTGAGGAAAGGCCGCCCCCTTCTGGTCGCCGTGAAGATTCTACGCCCGGACGCCTCCAAGAATGCCAGGTTTGTAACATCATACGAGGCTGGGCCTGGTCTCTGGCTGCTGCGTGCTTCACGGTTTTCCTTTCTGTTTTTACAGCTTAGCTCCTACTTGGCACTTTCTCACATGTTCACAGAACTGCAGCTTTCCCACTGAAGGTGGTGTCTCTGAAATATCAAGAAAGGATTTAGATGAACTGAATGAATTATTTGTCAGGCGCAAGCAAAAGCTGTCGAACTTTCTCAGATGGCAGATTCTTAAATGCCATCATGTGCAATGGTTTAACTGTAAAACCAAATCGTAATCTTAAACAAGCGTTTTAGTTCCAGTTTGTACTTTGGTTTTAAGGCTTTTGGTCAAAATTGAGCTCTTTTTTTTTTTTAGATTAATCAGGTTCTTTACTTGGATTAATACATTTTCTTTTCCTAAAATTGTGGAGACAAGTGCTATGAACAGATGTCTTCTCTATGCTGCTGGGTGCTGTACAGCTAAAAAGCTGGTTCTGCTCCTCATCTTTCCTGAAAAGTATTTTTCCCTGTTTTCAACACGTTTTCTCTTTTGCCAACTGTTTGTTTACTTTGGCTCTCCGAGTTTTTCCCTGAGCAGATAAAATCAGCAAGTGCGAGTGTATCTTTCAGGAGAAGCTTTCCACATTTGTACGTACACGTTGGCCCTCAAAACAAATCAATGAGGGCAAAAGTGCAAAAAGCAAGAAGTTTATTTTTTGGAGGAAGTCAAATGGCTCCATAGTTGATTCAGTTACAAAGGTTTGTGTTTACAAGAGGTAGGAAAGGGAACCCAGGCCTTTTAAATCTCTCTTATATCCAGGGCATTACCGTCTTCAGCATCGTGTTTCTGTCATTTTGGATAGGAATGACTTCCTGAAAGAGGTGAAGATTTTGTCTCGCCTGAAAGACCCAAACATCATCCGGCTGCTTGGGGTGTGTGTGAGCAGTGACCCCCTGTGCATGGTCACGGAGTACATGGAGTGTGGAGACTTGAACCAGTATCTGTCCCACCGAGTCCTGCTGGACAAATCCGGGCCTTCCCACAATACCCCCACCATCAGGTAACATGGGCAGACAGAATCATACATGTTTTCATATATATATATATATATGTGTGTGTGTGTGTGTGTGTGTACAACATCTTTTTCGTTGTCCCCCCCTATTCCAGTTACCCTGCCCTCATCTCCATGGCCAGCCAAATCGCGTCGGGAATGAAATTCCTCTCGTCTCTCAACTTTGTGCACCGGGATCTGGCAACTCGTAACTGTCTGGTGGGTGGCGAGAAAGGTGAAAGCGGAGAGGATCAAGGCGGCGAGCGTCACATCAAGATAGCCGACTTTGGCATGAGCCGAAACCTGTACGCCGGAGATTACTACAGGATCCAGGGCAGAGCTGTGCTGCCCATCCGCTGGATGGCCTGGGAGTGCATCCTCATGGTGAGAGGACAAAGATGTTGGCCAGCGCTGCAGTTTTATTTAATAAAAAATTTAAAAAATCGCTTTACTTATATTACGGGTCACAAATAGTAGAATTGAGCAAAAATTAAAAACTAAAAACATGCATAAATCAGTAATGATGCACTCAGCTGAGGAAAAAAACTCATTAAATGTGTCGTTACCCACCAGAGGTCTGCCCTCTCAGGAGCACGACTCTGATGATCATTGGGACTCTAATGGATCGTGTGCTAATGAAGGCGGTGTGTCTGTGTGTGCTCTCAGGGGAAATTCACAACAGCCAGCGACGTGTGGGCGTTCGGGGTCACTCTGTGGGAGATGCTGAGCGTTTGTCAGGAGCAGCCCTACTCCAACCTGACCGATGAACAGGTCATCGACAACGCTGGGGAGTTCTTCAGAGACCAGGGCAGACAGGTGCGTTCAGCCTGCTCATCAATGTCATCCTGAAACTCTACCTTTGAACGCTGCTTTTTTTTCTTTTCTTTTTTTAAGGGGACAGTTAAACATTCATCCACTGTAACATGATATTTTACAGGTAACTGTGTGGTCGCTTTCAGAAGGACAGCGTATACTTGTCCTATGACCGGGTCACACGGGGTTAATAATACACTTTGTCTTTTGTAAACAACAGCCAGCATTACCTCTCTGTACATCACACTTCCATCGTATTGTACAGCTTGAGCTGAGCTGCACGAACAATGGAGATTCATCTTGCTCATTTTTGTGTCACAAATTGGTTGAAGCTATTCTTCCTTTATTCCAATAACAATTTGCATTTTACTTTAATTCAGATTAGGGAACAGTGACTCATCAGTGCTTATGAAGAAGTTTGTGATATCAGGGGCCCTCTAGTGACAGATCATAGAGCTTCAGTTAGGATCACAAATCTCAGAAAAGCTGTGGAAAATGCGACTGGGCAGTGACAGTAAGCAATTCACTTAAGCACTCCTCAGAAACCAAAAAAACTTGCTTATTTGTGTTCACAAGACCATCAGCACTGTAATTGTTAGGTATTTCTCTCTCTCTTATTTACATGTCAGAATGGAATATGGTGTTTTTCATTCTGTTTTACAGTGATCTTCACTCTGAACACCTTTCCTTCCTTTTTCCTAGGTGTACCTGAGTAAGCCAGCCGTGTGTCCCCAGGGTCTCTACGAGCTAATGTTGAATTGCTGGAACAGAGACTGCAAGCTCCGACCATCTTTCGCCTACATCCACTCTTTTCTTACAGAGGACGCCATGAATATGGTGTAAAGAGAGAGCAAGATTTGTGCCCGTGCATCTGTGCTGCCGTGGGACGGTGTGGTGGAGGGTTTGCTCACTGGGAGAGTGGGTTGCTCGCTTATTGTATTTTTTACTTTTTGGGGGGATGGGGCTGAGACACCGCTGGTTCGGTTTTAATTCCACCCCACAGACAAGACCTTAACCCCTGCTTTTGATAGTTACCAGTTTGAGCTATTTCATTGTGGTTGGTGGTGGGTGCAGACTGCGTAGGAACTTTCTCCCTTCTCAGAAACTGATTACAAAGTTGAATCAATGTTTTTTTTTTTTGGTTAACCATCTTGAAGCACAGGGTCAACTCTGGCTACTCATGACACACACACACAGGGAATGTCTTTAAAGTCCATCTCCCATTCTGTAATTCAGTGACATTACTCCCTGCCACAGTTCACCGTTTGCTTTTTCTCAGCCCCATATCCTTACATAGTAACATAGTTCCTTTTTTTGAGGGCAAATGTGAAATGATGTGGACCAGACGACGACAGCCCCCTCTCTGCAAATGTGATTTATGTCATCAACCGAATCCAGCCATCTTAACCGATAAGTCCGAGAAGCATCAGAACATCTTTGAAAGGTCTAAAAACTTTGTGCCAAGTGGACGTCTCAGACCTTACAAATGGGACACAGAGGGGAGTCTGCAGCTGTGAGTGAGACGTTTTCCCAGCAGTGAGGCAGTTCTGGCAGCCCAGGCGCTGGATGGGACATCTTCACAGGTGCCTGCTCGGATTTTTGGGGGATTTTTTCCCCAATTTTTTCTTTACTTTTTTTTTCGCTTTATCTAGCTGTGACTCAGTCACAACAGATAGATGTAAATTCCACAAACAGCTGCACTTTAAATCCTATATTCGTGATTAAAACTCTTAGCTATGATGGGTCTGAATGTTGATTCCAGTTTATATGGATTCTGACTAATTGCCCTTGCAAAGGTTTTTGGATGTTTGCTGAGGGTCATAACAGTACACTGATTAAAGACTAAGTCTGGCACGACATTGCCAAACCATCAGATGTAAAATATTGTTAGAATGAAACAGAATGGCATTTCATTTCTTTTTGTACAACAACCTTTTGTATAGGCAATTTCAGTGCATTCAGGTGTTACTCGCCAGTGTCCTCTTCCACCATCTAAATACATAATATAGCATTGTTCAAATGGGGATCTCTGAGATTCCTCATTTTAGCATGAAAATCAACACCTATCTGAATAGCCCCACGTTTTTGCATCAGGATGACCGCGGTAGAGTCGATGCCTCTACTGTACTGACTGTACAGCACCGTAAATCCCTTCTAGAATCACAAACACAAAGTCATGCGTTAATTACCATAATTGTGCCATTTCACTCATTTTTTGATACACTGTAGTCCAGTTAAACCCGTTTTTATACACATTTACTGTATGTACTTAAACTCTCCTTGATGTCTGATTTAGTCCCTTTGTGTCTTTGAATATGAACATGATGGTATGTACATATTTTCTGGACAGAATTACAGCTTCCTTTACTAATATATAGAGAACTCTGGTTACATTTTGGGTCTCTTTGTGTCTCTGTAGAATGCTTGCTACCTTCATTGTGTTGTCTATTTTTGTAGATGTTTTAATAAAGTTAACCTTTTCAGATAATCTGGGTGTGCCTGACACTTCAGTTGGACTGAATAGACAAAAGAAAAGAAAACAAAGGATGAAAAGTTGTTTACTGTTAATAAAACATCTTTTATTGTCAGTTTACAACAGATCATTTCCTATATTTGATCCAAGCACCTCCACACTACATAGGGGCTACTTGATATTAACACAGAAAAGTCATGCAACAAATGTTTTTCAAATATTTTTAACAAGAGCAGATAAAATAAGTCGAGATTAATTTGGCTTTCATCTACAGCTATCAATAAAGACAGCCTATGGCTTAAGAATAACTGGACATGAGAATATATTCCCTGAAAGAAGTTTTCTTAAATCGGCAGAAAGCTGTTTGAGTTTAACCAGGCACTTGGTGGTTAAAAAAAAGAAAGAAATGCATAAGGCTTGAAAGAGTTGCAACTTTGGAAAGATGGTGTGAAAAAGAAAATCAATTCTTCTCTAGAGGTACTGTTTCCATAGCACGTCCTACAACTACAAGTGCAGTTTTACAAGAGCTAAAATAATCAACATCTCACAAGCATAAAAAATAACTGAAGCAAAAGAAAACATTTAGAGGCAGGGGTGCACAGTAAAAGCAGCAGCTTGGTTAGTAAGCTGACTATATAGTGATGGTCCTCCTTTATTACTAACTGAAAAGTAATGAATGAAATTAAAGAACAAAGACGACATCGCTGTAAAGAATCAAACACTGCTTTACCCACCTGAAGATACTTTCCTTACTTTCAATTTGAAACCCTCAAGACACCCTATCAACCACTACCTCTCCTCAGTTCCTGACTGTTCTGATGCAATCAAGTGTCATTCCGTACTGTTATTCTAACAAACCAGCGGACAAAGTGAGTCAGACATGAAGCTCAGTGCATGCAAAATGAGGATGGTGGTAACAATGTCTCCGTACACAAAATAAAGTGATTGTGCGATAAGCCTCAGAAATAAATCAATCAGTAAATTTGGGGGCCAATTTTGTGGTGTGGACAGGTCATTTGTGGAGAGGCCTGACAGCTGGTGGCTGTTTGTGCCACCATAACAAAGGAGCTGTGTGTAGAATTTAGAGAAATTAGCAAAAAATAGTTGCACAGTGCAGCCAGCTAAAAGTCTTGCACTCTCCTTTTCCCTTTACTGGATATGGTTACAACCCTCAACGGTCTTCCCTGTTGGTATTTAGTCTGTCTGTTCTGGGCTGCTGTAGGAGGTAAAGGAGGCCTCAGAGCATCTGATGACAGAAACAAAACCTGTTCCATTGTAGAAATGTTCATTCAAAATGTATATACCTATATATACATAGATATATATTTATAGAAGTGATTTCAGTAGTTCATTACGTGTAGCAGCAGACTCAAGCTACCTGAACTTGCTTTGCATTATTTCCTGAATCTGAAGGCACAGAACATGTAAAGGAGCAGAAATTTCTTCAGAAAAGAGACTGTTAGGTGATTCAGTCCCTTTGCATGGACAATGAGAGCCACAGGAGTACGGTAAAAAAAATTGCGTACAGAAAATCAAGTACAATATTATAAAAGGACAAAGACGGATCTTATCATTTTAACTTAAGCTGACAAGTTTAAGTGGATTGTGTCTTTTGTTTCACACAGACAAAAGGAAGCCTGTCGGTTGTCATTTCCTTGCATTTCTTTCTGTGGTGACTAACAGCCAAGAGCAACTGCACAGATGAGAACCAGCTAACCCACATGAAGGATGAGTGAACAAACTGAACCTTTAGGTGGAGGAGGAGTGCAAGTGAAACACATACATGCACGCACACACAGTGAAACAGGGTCAACAGCGTGGTTAAAGACAGAAGAAGATGATGTGGGGCTCTAAACACGGTGGACTCTCCTGATGATTACAGAAAAACGTGGATCCTTCTTAATGCACCCGGGTGGTCTTTCCAGTAACCTGGGAAAAAGTTAGAATAATGAACACCAGTCGCTTGGTTAGTCTGGTATACGCCTCTGACTCGCACACCTCAGTGTACCTGTGAGATGTCGACTCCGGTGAGCTTCTCCACCGCAGCCGGCAGCCGGGTCATGATGTCGAGGACCTCTCCGGCAAGTTTGGCTGCTCCCACCTCTGAGCCGCCACTGGACACCATGGTGATCTTCTGGGCCTCGCACAGGGGCCTGCTTATCTCCTCTGCCATCTGCGGATGAAGGGAAGAGCTGTTTTACTGGGTTTGAAGGGCAAAATAAGTAACAGCAACTTTACTACTAAGAATACATTCCATGAAAAAACATTCAAACAACAATGAATTTGCTTAACTATTTGAAGCCGAGTCAACATAAAATAAAATGAACGTAGATTTATTCTGTGGCAAAAGGAAACAGACGGTGGAGGAAACTGCTACGCCGTCACACTGACCAGAGGGAGCTTCTCCAGCAGCATGTCCACCATAGCTCCCTCCTTATACTGCTTGAAGGCGTCGGCCTTTTTGGCCATCTGCTCAGCTTCAGCACGGCCCTTGGCCTCCACAGCAAAAGCCTCTGCTTCACCCTTTATCTGCGCGAGCGAGAACACGGCCCAGTTAGGATCACAGTAACAGCGTGGCACGATGTGGAATGAACGAAGAAGTAGGCTGGGAGGTCTCACCTTGATGGACTCCGCTTCGGCCTCTGCCTCCATGATGAGCTGCAGGCTGCAGGGGACAAGAGAAAGCATAGATTTCTACTAGTGATTCATCTTTCAGCGGAAGCACAAAAAGCAGTGGTACTGAGCTCAGGTGCTGACCGGTATGCCTCAGCCAGCTTCTCCAGGCGGTACTTCTCAGCCTCTGCAGGCTTCTTAACTTTGGCCTCCAGCTCCTTCTCTTTGCGGGTGATCTCCTGCTCCTGCAGAGTAATCTGCTGCGTGCGCTCCACAACCTGGACCTGCATATTCTCCTCCTCAATGCGCTGCTTGGTCTTGGCCACCTGACCATGGGAAATTTACGCAAAGTTACTAAAACCAATATATGAGAAAACTGAGCTGGTACGGTAAGAAGTTCAGTGACAAATACTCATCACACACACCACGACCTCAGCAGGACAGTACCTGCAGCTGGTAGGCCATTTCTGACTCAGCCTTCTTGGAGTTGACCTCCATGTCATACGCCGCTTTCTTCAGTTCATAGTCTCTCTGGGCTTTTGCCATTTCAATCTCATTCTTGTACTGAGCGGACACCTTCTCCTGCATTGCATGGGCCTCCTGTGAATAGACAACAGCAAGGCAGGAACAAAAAATAATGCATTTTAAAAAAATCTGATACTTCCTTCAAAGGTTTTATTCTACTTGCTTTTCCTTTTTTATTTATTTACCCTGATAACAGCATCACGTTTGTATTGAGCTTCTCCAATTCTGGCATCTTTCTGCACCTGGGCTGTGCGGGCTTTACCCAGAGAGTGAAGGTAGTCCTGCAGGGGGCACACAGATAGACAGGGAATGAATAAAATCACAGATCCCCTCATATGGTTAATGTCAGCATGGTGTGGGACTAAATTTGGGGACTAAAAGGGGATTGACCTACTTATTACACTGCCAGTGGTAAGCTAACAGGATTTTGCCCAACAACGTTGGACTTTTACAACCAGACAGGCTAGCAGAGACCTGAAGATGTGTGTGTGTGTATGAAGACATGTGCTGAGAGATTGAATCGCCACGCCCAGAGGAATCCCAAAGTGAGGCCGCCCCGTTTGTGCAGAGACGAAGGCAGAGCATTACACCAACCAGCACAAGAGACGTTCCTGTTACCAGTGAGGCACTTAGGCCTAATGTAGCTCTGTTTCAGAGGGGGGATGGGAGCTGACCGAATCAGACCGAGTCAATATCCATCACTTAAGAATAATAGGGTCTTAGAGAAAACCATCTGGCACTAAGAGCTTTCATGAAAAAAGATGACTCGGTCATACAACAGATCTGCAGCTCTTTGGTGTGCTGCTCAGTGCAGGACACAACGCACCTGGTCATCATGAACATCTTTCAGGGTGTAGCTGACAACTCCAATGCCCATGTTGACCAGGTCAGAGGAGGCCACTTTAAAGACCTGTTCAGAGAACTTCTTGCGGTCCTGATAGATCTCCTGCACACAAAGAAAACTTATGTAAACGCTGTCATCACAGTTACAACAAATTGTCATTTGTACAGTCAAAGAATAAAAATAAATACATAAATCAAGCTTAAAATAAACCAACCTCTACTGTCAAATGGGCAATGATGGCTCTCTGATGTCCCTCCAGTGTCTCCAGTGCAATCTGAGCAACTTCTGCCTCAGACTTGCCCATGAACATCTGACAGGCGGTGGCCAACATTTCCTTGTTTTGACCCTGGATCTTCACCTAGAAAACAAAAGAAAAGTGGAACATAATCATTAGTCAAAACAGATCAAATTTGGCAAGAACAAATACCCAACTATTATCTTATCTGTCTAACTTTGGTGTATTACCAAAGACATTCTTTACCTTTTACCTGTAGTGTCAAGTTATAAAAAGCACCATTTGATTTTTCCTGCATTTTGCACTAAAAATCCACCCATGATTCTTTATTTCTGACTTCAGACATTCTAGAGATGAGGATTTGAAAAGGATGTGGACCACAAACCTTGTACGGCCCACAAAAGATTTTCATTAAATTCAAATTCATTCCGATATGCTGTGCACTGATTTTGAGAACAATTGTGTAGAAACCTGAAGGTATTTTATGCTACACCGTTGTCAGAGCATACCTGTGCGATGCCAGTGACAGAAATAGGGACGCCGTGGCGCGTGTAGACTTTGTCACTCTTCACATTTAGAGTCAGGGTGTTCAGTGTGATTCTGTGAATGACACAATGGTTAGCAAGAACGAGAGAATAAGCTTATCTTTACTGATACATACGATTTCTGAGATATACATATATTTTAAAATAATTTAATTAATTTCTGTTTTTTTATATATTTTGTTAAAGGGCGAAATAAAGACTCTAAACAAAAAAAGTATTATCACTCTGTTTGCATTTGGATCAGGCTTTAAAGGGTTAAGAACGACAAAGCAGAGCTGAAGTGTCACTGTGGAAACCCAATGTGTCAATGACCAACACAGACTTATTGTTGTTACAGCACAAAACATTTTGTTTTCCCCGTTCCATAGTGTAATGGGTAGAACTCTGGACTTTGAATCCAGCTATACAATTTCAAATCTCAATGGAACCTAGGGTCTCTTGAATTCCCCTGAAGGAGTCATCCCAAGAGATAAATAAAGTCTAAGTTAGTCCTTACAGTGACAGATGACAGCTGTTTCCTGAACACGAGCATTACCATCAGTGTGGACTGCAATCATATGCTACGAGCAGCATTCGATAGAAAATGAGTTGGAGAATGGGTTCACCTCTGGATCTGCTGAATACAGGGGAAGACAAACACTCTTCCACCGGCAATCATGAGAGGCGGAGAACGGCCAAAGCCTGAAAGGGATAGAGGAGGAGCAAACACATGACATCAACCTCACATTTACAATCAGTACTACACAACTGGCTACTTATCAAAGGTAAATGGCTCGTATACACTGTTTAACTAACAGCCCCGTATCACATCACTGCAACTGCTGCATTTAATTCATGAGGTCAGGATGGAAAATCCTTTGTTTCCTCTAAAAATCTGTGTTGTCCAATCTCCTTCACACATGATGTAATAGTAACTGTTTCCTGTTTATTTAGCATGATATTTCCCCAGTGAGACTAGTAAGAGAAGTACTGTAACCCCTTAGTTTTAAAACATCCTATGTAATTTGAGGAAAGATAAATGCATCCATTACCAGATACCACCATAGCCTCATTTGGTCCACACGTGTAAAACATCTTGATTCCTGACAAGACAAAAAATAACAAATAATTAAATGACAGAAAAAACTAATACCTTTTAAATATACCCTTTAACGACAGTTTTATATGAGAAATACACATGTAAGATGTTACAAGAAAGCGTAATTGGAATAGAAAGTTTTGTTTTGTTTCATATCTAATGTAACATACTACTTGTCTGTAAGGAGAAAAGGAAATTCACTGAGAAGCGACTCTAATATAAGGCAGGACACCACTTGTTGCAGGCGACCAGCAGCAGAAGGCCACTCCTCTGGTCCCCAAACCACTGATCTAATGTCCAACCATGCGTCACACTGTGTCACAAATCCTTATTTTAAAAACCCACAGACATAACCTCTAAAACACACTTAAAGAAACATCAATTCCCACTGATCTATGTCAGCTTTATACAAAATAAATCAAAGGGATAAATTCAAGTAAAGGCAGAAATATTCAGTACGACAGATAATAACACAACGTACATGTATTATTTCGTAATACCTGTCACATTACTCCATCTATAGTATTTTAAATGCCTGTCTAAAGATCTCAAACCCTATTAAGAGCCTTCTATCTCAGCGTGAGTACCCACAAACTGGAAGTGTCACATGTCAGGGTGGATGGTCTGAGGCAGGTTTGTGGGGAGGACCTCACGGCTCCTCCCTCTGCCGATAATCCTTCCAACCTTTCCTCCGCGTCGGCCCGACAAAACACAACAACTACACCCAGACAAGAACCGCGAATTCGACGTGTTAAATACACGCGAAGGAGCCGCGGGCGATAAAATAAAATAAAAAGCTAACTTAATAGCAAACCTAAGCAAGCCGTTATGGGAGAGCGGAACTGAGGTGCCTCACGGCGCCTGTGGGAAAGAAAACGGCAGCCGAGACTAATTACCACCGGAGGTCAGCGAGGAAACACGTCAAACCCGACTGCCCTCATCTTAGCTACCCATACCAGCTCCGTACAAAGAGAACAGACCTTTTTAGAAAAACGTGAGGTTGATTTCCTGTCGCTACGGTGAGCTTGTTTGGGTCTTTGCACGACAGCTGGAATTGCAAAAATGTCCGTTCATAGAGAGAGAGGGAGGGAAGGGGGAGTGCTGACTGACCACGCCTATATCCTCTCTGACGCCATCTAGTGGTCGAGTCAATAACTGCACCGCGTCCCCTCATCTAATCTTTGTGCAAAAGCAGCCCCATCAGACAGAATATGCTTAGCTTCTGTCCATGTTCTGGTGCCACTCTTTTGATAGATCACATTCAAATTAAACATCACAGCACTGGATTTAAACATCTTGACTGAGTCAGTAGAGTGTATCTAAAATATTAGATAATTCACCAGTTCTAACCGTTTTGAGGTGGTTGGAAAAATTGAATTGCACTGACTTTGATTTGATCTCAGCGAGAGGCCCAGGGCATTAGTTGCCTGCTGACAGCACAAAGTCTGTTCCCCTACCCATGTCTGACCCAAATACTTACATAATAATTTCTGTCTTTGTCTGTGTTGTAAATGTGTCATTTTGAAACACAGATGAAGAGAAAACAAAACCTTTAAACCAATAAAAACTAGGTCTGTAATAATGTATCTTTTAGACTCACATTGGGATTAACTGTCTTGAATAACATAGAGATGATCTCTATGCAACATACACAATCAAAAACTATGTATATATTTACATTGTATGTACATATGAATTTAATAAATAATCTAAGACAACTGCAGTACCCATGCAAAAGTTTTTGGGTGTTCACTTTTTAGAGCAATAGCTCATGGCCAACAAAGACATTTGTGTCTGCAGAAGACTGTTCCAAAAAAAACAACAGCTGCAGAAAAAAAAATATACAAAATCCTTTCTTGAAACTGTAAACAGTTTGAATTATAGCCTGGATTTGTTTTCCCTTTTTCCACGCTATATGAGGAGGTTTTCCATTTGTAATTCTTCAAGTGCCCTATTTACCATTGTTTATTCTTAGTAAATATTCATGTATAAACGGACAAATATATCACAAGGCTTTCTGCTCTTCTTTGTCTCAAAATCCCAGACATGCATGAGCAAATGGACAAAATGGAAACCTGTGGAAAAGACCCACATAGTCCTGCCACAGAAGATCGTTAAATATGCTTTATTTCTGACCTCCTCATGTCATTTCCTTCCCAACATCCTTTTTGATACAGTCCCAACACAGTTGGGTTTTAACCAGATGGGCCGAGCTTCACATTAAAAATGTTGCTATCTGTTTCCTTTGCAGAGATAGACATAGTGATGATTAGTCATAGCTGAGGCAATAAAAACAGCTGTAGTACATCCTACTGGGTATTTCTGGACACCAGCTGGTAAAATTCTGGTCAATCTCTCCTCCCAGTTTCCTCTCCCAGTTCTGCAGCAGCGTGGCTCCTCCCCCCGGACGGTCCTCTCAGCCAATCAGCTCCAGGAACAGCTGGCTCTGGGTGTGGTCACCTCCTCCCACCCGGCCCCATCCTCGTTCTGGAAAGCCTCCAACCTTATAAATCCTTTGTCCGTGACGCTCCCCTCAAGGCTGCGCTCAGCTCCTCGTGTTCATCTGGTCCCGTCTTTTTACTCTTTTGTAAAAACTCCCGAATCCACTATGAGGGAAATTGTGCACATCCAGGCCGGTCAGTGCGGTAACCAGATCGGTGCCAAGGTAAGATCATATTGTATTTACAATGTATTTGATATTTCCGTTAGAAATTATAGATTTCTCCTGGACATTACAGCTTTCTTGGGGCTTAAGTAGTAATCTTTCAGCTGGTCTCTTATGGAGACAAAGGACTCATAAAAGAAAAACGAGAAAATGTCAACCCCAAATAGTTTTATCACAGATTAACTTGTAAATCATGACTCTCTTGAGCATATCATAGCACAAGGTGTGTGATTTTGTGGGTGAATCTTGTGCACTGCGGTAACTGGTGGGTGGGTGGGTGTGGATAGACATATAACGGGGCTCTTGTGTCTCGACGGGTTTTGTTCACACAACGCCGGGCGTGTCTGCCTCCCAACTCTCTGTATTCAGCTGACCTCAAGACATTGTCTGAGACTAAATGCAAAACAGACAACTTTAAGAATGGGAGAGAAAAATCAGCCTATTCTTTTTTCTTTTTTTCCCGAGTCTTTCTTTGTCTTCAACAGGCAGATATGACTGGCATTTCAGACAATGAGTGGAAGCTGGGACGAGAGGCCTGGCTTTTTCTTTTTTTTGTTCACCCCCAGATGTCTGATGGATCAATTGCACATATCGATTAGATTATAGTTCTGCAGGCTGTAGAGGCAGACTGCAGTTTAGGTTATTGAGAAGATGAGCTATTGAAGGGTGTGGCGTGAATAATTGGTAAAGAAAAACCTTTGACAGAGATTGATTTAAAATCTAATCTGTGCTTTCAGACATGAAATAATACCAGTTCATTGTTTTTTTTCAAATGATCAGTCATTTTCTTACATTTTGCTCATTTGTATATCCATAAAAGCAAATGTGCATTTTGTCAATAGAGCTGCAATAGATCAATAAAACACACCCAGTCCCTCAGCAACAATTGTAGTCTGCACCGATGGGTGTCTGTGGACCATTATTAGCGCTGTCTTACTGTCATCTTTGATTTTACAGCTGATAATTTGCCAGGCACAGCATATATTCAGGAAGGGCCCATCAACCCCATGCCGTGCCATTAAAATCTGCAGACCCACTAATAATCAGCCATAGTTTAGAGAATGCATTATTATTGCCATGATGTTCTACTAGCAGAGATGGTCATGTCCTGGAAAGCTGGGCCTTTCTTTGTAATCAATGTCTTTCCACCCTTCCCCAAACCAAATTAGGAGCAGGGTGGGGGTAGAATGGAGGAAACAGCTGATGCACAGTGGGTCAAGTCATTGGGTTCTCAATTGAATTGATTTGCAATAATTTGAAATATTTAGGATAACTGTTTAATAACTGTTTAATATTAACATATTGTAGACCTTTAAATAACTACTACCATTCACGGGAAGTTTTTATTAATATAACACATTTTTATCCCTTTGTCTCTTTACGTTTCATTTTCTGCCTTTGTGTTGGATGTTTGAAAAAAAAAAAAAAATGGTGGCCTGGCAGAGAAGATCCCTGTTCGCTTCCATTCCCTCAGGGCTCATTACCTCAGATGTCCGGTGGACATGATTGACAGAAATGCTGAACAGCTGCATTGTAGTGAATTGGGTCAGGGTGTGGCATCGCTTTCCTGCTTATTGTCCTCGTTCTTTCACTTCCATGCTCAGTCTTTTCTGATAGCCATCTATGGCATAGCTGTCAACCATCCATCAATATCTCAGTTTTTTCAGCTTCAGTCTCAAAGCAGCGTAAAGGATGTTCTTCTTCATATTAAGGTCACTTGGTCATTTTTGGTTGACATGCTCCAATTTAAATGTCACAATCCTCTATGCACAGTTGACTCCCAATCTCTTGGGTATTATGTCTGCATAAAGCCAGCTAATCCAGATTACTCTTAATCCTCTGATTGCTGCTGTTTGCTAAAACATCACAGGCAGTATTGCAAAGAAATATCCAAGTTGGACAATACAGTAGGACTGGATTTGATACAAACACAACCTTAAAGATCTCCGTGGCCTTTAAGGAGCGGACATGACTTGAATACAGATGAGAAGACACTCAATGTTAGCAGCGTAGTGTGACTGCCTGCAAATTAAGTTTATTTTCACTTTGGCCTGGGGAGAGATCTGTAGCTCTTTTGTGCTTTCCCCGAGCATTTTACATATGAAAGAAGTTCTTTCTGCAAAGTCATCAGTTGGCAGCCACTAAAATATTCACAGCTGCGCTGCAGGAAATGAGTTAAAATATGGTTTGCTGAAAGGGGGGAAAAATCCTGTATTATCCATCAGAACACAAAAATGTAAAACCACTGCTGCTTTTCTCATCTCAGGTCCCCTGTCCCATAAACTACGTGGCTTATGGGTATATACGTTCATTTTCTTGCAAGTAACTGTCATATGATATCTTCCATTTTGTGTCTGCAGTTCTGGGAAGTGATCAGCGATGAGCACGGCATCGATCCCACGGGGACTTACCACGGAGACAGCGACCTGCAGCTGGACCGGATCAGTGTCTACTACAATGAGGCCACAGGTTAGAAGTCTTTAAAGCTGATTTATACATAAATACACACGTGTGAAAGATATTCATTCATATGCAATGAACATGGCCCCTTTCTGCTGTCTCCAGTTATGTATGGACTTTTCCACATTTTGTTCCGGATTGACTGATGTTGATTTTTTTTGCGTGCATGATTGAGCCCGTGTTTTCTCTTATCCCTTTTTTTTCTCTTTCTTTCTTTCCTGTCTTTTTATCTTTCTCAGGGGGTAAATATGTGCCTCGGGCTATTCTTGTGGATTTGGAGCCCGGTACCATGGACTCCGTGAGGTCTGGACCCTTTGGGCAAATCTTCAGACCTGACAACTTTGTATTCGGTGGGTACAAAATAAAAAGGCTCGTCTCACAGTATGAACAAAAGCTCCAGTGAACAAGGCAACATGGCTCATTTTTATATCAAACCATTCCCTCAGGTCAGAGTGGTGCTGGAAACAACTGGGCCAAGGGTCACTACACAGAGGGGGCTGAGCTGGTGGACTCAGTCCTGGATGTGGTCCGTAAGGAGTCTGAGAGCTGCGACTGCCTGCAGGGCTTCCAGCTCACCCACTCTCTCGGTGGTGGAACTGGATCTGGAATGGGAACTCTGCTCATCAGCAAAATCCGTGAAGAGTACCCCGACCGTATAATGAACACCTTCAGTGTGGTGCCTTCCCCCAAGGTAATTTATCCAATTGAGAGCGCATGATAAATTTTGGTTTTCATCTTGGCCTCCTGTTGCTGCAGGCTCCTCCGGTAAGACCATGAAACTCAGTAAAAGGTTTGTGTGTTCACAGGTGTCAGACACGGTGGTCGAGCCATACAATGCCACCCTGTCCGTCCACCAGCTTGTTGAGAACACCGACGAAACTTACTGCATTGACAACGAGGCCCTTTATGACATCTGCTTCCGCACTCTGAAACTGACCACACCCACCTACGGAGACCTTAACCATCTGGTGTCCGCCACCATGAGCGGCGTCACCACCTGCCTGCGGTTCCCCGGTCAGCTCAACGCCGATCTCCGCAAACTGGCTGTCAACATGGTGCCTTTCCCCCGTTTGCACTTCTTCATGCCTGGTTTCGCTCCCCTGACCAGCCGGGGCAGCCAGCAGTACCGTGCCCTCACAGTTCCCGAGCTCACCCAGCAGGTGTTCGACGCCAAGAACATGATGGCGGCGTGCGACCCCCGTCACGGCCGCTATCTGACAGTTGCAGCTGTGTTCCGCGGCCGCATGTCCATGAAGGAGGTGGACGAGCAGATGCTGAACGTGCAGAACAAGAACAGCAGCTACTTCGTTGAATGGATCCCCAACAACGTCAAGACCGCTGTTTGTGACATTCCACCCCGTGGCCTCAAGATGGCCGTCACTTTTATTGGCAACAGCACAGCCATCCAGGAGCTGTTTAAGCGCATCTCCGAGCAATTCACTGCCATGTTCCGGCGCAAGGCCTTCCTGCATTGGTACACAGGTGAAGGTATGGATGAGATGGAGTTCACTGAGGCAGAGAGCAACATGAATGACCTGGTGTCTGAGTATCAGCAGTACCAGGATGCCACTGCTGAGGAGGAGGGCGAGTTTGAGGAGGAGGCCGAAGATGATGCCTGAAGATGAAAATGTGAAGAACAAGCGATCAATGCCAAAACAAAACCATTATAGGAACAAACCACAAGTAACCACAAAATCAACTTAGTGTCAACAGCATTGTTAGAATCAAACTTTAGCTTACAGTAGGTTTCCTCTGTCATTCAATACTAATAAAGTTCTCAAATAAATCTGGTTTGACTCTTATTTGTGTAATGAAACTTCCATTGCACTCATGAATTATCAGTCACATGAAAGGCTGAATGGTACTGGACAAAAGAAAAGCTCAGCTGCAACTATGGAGGAGCTTTTAGGCGTGGTTAGCAGAACTAATTGCACCCTGACAATCTAACCAATATATCTCTTTAACATAAAGAAACATTTCCCCATCTTTCCTGGTGCTGCAGAGTAGTCAAATGAAGGCCCACTCAATCTTTGTACTCCAGTTCTTCACATAATCATATAACTAAGCATTTATTAGTTTGGAATTACCAGCTTTGATAAACAAAACAATTGCTTCAGTGTCTGGGGGCATATGTTCCCGGTGGATTATCATTCCCTTTTCAGTAATTGATTGTATGCTGAATAATCACAGATTTACTTTTGATCTAAAACACAGATAACTATTGTTGCTGCAGGGATATGCAGATGAGGGATTTGAGGAACAGTCTACAAAGTACGCGGTTACAATTTACTGTTGGTGACAACTATGGCCTGAAACAGGTGACAACTATGGCATATCTGTACAGATGGGGTAATAACTCCCACACAGGCCCCAGTGTTTCATTATTGCAATTTCATCCAACATACTTTTGTAATATGATGCAGGAGACAAAAATAGGCGAGCCCCTCTTACACTGCCACCCTCTGACTATCACCTATGTTAGAATCACCTATAATTTAAGTTGGACTTTGTGACTGCATATCCCCATGAAACTGTGTATCAGTATTGTTTGTTTTTTGTTTTGTACTCTGGACGATATTACTCTTTTAAATAATATTAATTAGCAACTGAATGTACAGGCCTGCCACTTTAAAACATATAGTCTTCTCATGCGCTCTTGGCTTTTTGCGTTTTTTACGATGGCTTACAGGGCGCGAAAATGAATGTATGAACAAAAAAACTAAGAAGACCTTTACGCCAATCGGGGGTGATCATTTTAGAAGGTGGCTTAAAGAACCAATAGTAACAGAGTTTGGTTTTACATGTGTTTTTGTTAGGCCAATCGGTAGAAGCATGACATATAGAGGGCGTGACCAATTACTCCCAGGATGTTTATTTATTTACATTTTTCTTACCGGGAAAGACACGGCATGTTAAGGTGCGTATCATAGTACGACGTTTTTAGATTATTTCAACAGGTTTGAGTTTAGAATGAATAAAAAAATAAAAAATAAACACATGTGAACACTTCAGCCATTCGGATAACACGCGCAGACTTCCTTTATACATTTCAATGTAACTGCTATGAGACTTAGCAAATACTGAAGCGGTCTCAAACAGTGGTTAAATTATAGATCTGACGCTCTCAATAAGTACGCATTGAATAATACCATACAAAATAAACTTGTTTTCTAATTTAAAATATTGAATTTGGCATTTCGCATTTTTTAAGTTGACCGGAAGTTTGATTGGTTTGATTTTGACATGATCGTTGCACACGTTGACTAAAAGTTGTATGAGCCTTGCTTTCAGTGAATGGGTGAATGCCACGAACATTATTTTAGAAAAAAGATAAATTAGCTATCTTTATTGACGTTTAGTTAACTGTAATCTGCCGATAAATAATTAGCCACCGGGCTAGCGTTAGCTGCGTGGATTTGGCTGTTTTCAGTTGGGCATGTTCGTTAAGCTAACGGTAGATTGATTTAGAAGTCAATGTTTCAGTTTAATCCAAGGTTTGTCTGTTTACGTTTAAGAGGCATTGCTGTATCGCCGTTTGGTAGAAATGGATGCTACGCAGGTGATCAGTGACTCAATCTTGGAGTCAGATGAGGAAGAAACTGAAGAGCAGACTAGAAACAAGGAGAGTAGGCCCGTGGCTAAACTGTGCATCTTAAAAAATCCACACATCCCAGAGACAGGTGAGTGGCCCCTTTCTGCTGTTTTGACTATTCATGCTCTGTATGTTCTACATAAAGAGATAACTTACTAAGAATCCTCTCTGTCACCTAGAGTTGCCCCTCTTTTTAGGAGATAATATCCTGGGCCGTGACCCCAGCACCTCCACGCTGCCATTTCCTGCCCCTTCAGTGTCCAAGCAGCACGCCACCATCTGCATCTCTGTCTACAAGCGAAGAGGCTGTCGCAGTGATGTGCACATAGAGGCTTTGGTGTGGGATCTCGGGAGCATGAACGGGACCCGAAAAGGCCGCTTAAAACTGACTCCTAATGTACGCTATGCCCTCAGTGAAGGCGACAGCTTGGTGGTGGCAGACATCCCGTGCCAGTATGTGAGCTGCTCTGAAGATTCAGTCTCTTCTCAAGACGACATAAGGACCCCAGGGAGTAAAAAGGCGGGAGGAAAGGTCAGGCTGGCAGATGCTTCAGGAGAGGGACAGGGTGACACGAGTACTAGCAACAAGAAATGTTTCAGTGGCAGTGCAAAGGCAAGGGTGTCATCAAAGAGGACTCCTGTCAAAGGGAGTTGTCTGTCCTTTGAGGATACCCCAACCCAGCACCAGGGCAGCTTGGTCCCAGAATCTGACTCGGATTCAGACAGCGGAACAGGTGGAAAAGGGGACAAAAACAGGAAGATCCTAGGTATGTGCAGATCATGTGAAAATGCACAGAATGAATCCATGTGTTTTGTTTTCTGTTGATCACAAGCTTGTGGTTGTTCTCATTTACAGTGTCTGACTCCCAGAAATCAAGACTCAATTCTTCTGTGTTCTTAAGTCCTGCTAACAAAATTGTCCCTGAAAGGTACGTGTTTTTCTCTTAATGAATATTTTTTATTCATAGCACAGGAGGAAACTTGTCATTCCTGCTTTCACTTTGTAAAACAGTCCCCCTGTTTTTCCACTTTTCTGCAGTGAGGATGAAAGTCTCATGACACCATCCTCCTCAAACAGAAACGGGTCATCCAGACATGTCAGTTTCAGCATAGAGAAAACAGATGCAGATGTTAGCCAACAGCAGCTGGATACAAAAAAGTCACCCGTAGTAATGGGACACCCTTTGAAGGAAGAACAAACAGAAGCCAATTCAAGTCGGCAGCATGTGAGTCTCGGCAGTAATGTGAGTCTCACAGGTGAATCACCCGTGTCTGCGTCGGAAGCCTCCAAAGATGCAATTCCTGCATTTCACATGGACAGTGACACCGATGTGGAGGAGGGGGAGGAGGAAGAGGCGCTATCTGCCGGGCATCAGGGCTCCGAGGCAAAACAAAAACAAACTGATCCACCCCCTAACACTGCACTTTTTCACATGGACAGTGACACCACCGATGATGAGGATTTTTCAGATAAAGTTCCTAAAATCATTCCTTCCTCTGATGACTCTCCCAAAGCGACCAGTGTTCCTGAAGGCATCGTTATGGACAGTGACACTGACATGGAGGACGACGCTGCCACTACAACCAAAGCCACGTCTCTCCTGAATGCTCACACAGCAGACGCTGCTTCCTCCGTGCAGCTGAGAGATTTCCATTTAGAGAGTGACACTGATGTGGATGAGGAAGAGGAGGGGGATTGTTTAACATTCAACAAAAACTCTAAAAAAGAGGAAACACCTATGGATGCTAAGCTCACCGTGCCGGAGCCTGCACCCGTTCCTCCCCCCGTTCCTCCCCCCGTTCCTCCCCCCGGCCTGCGTCCAGAAAGTGACACAAGCCATAAAGCCGCCACAAACTCATGTGCCGCTGCAGATGTGGGCGCCGATTTGGATATTCTGTCTGACAGCGACACAGACGTGGAGGATGATTCTGCTTTGGTTAAACCTGTTGCTGTCCCAACCCTGCCAGCATGCTCCACTGGCTCTACGTCAGAAGCTCTTAAGTCAGATTCTGATGCAAAAACAGATGAAGATAAACCCAGTGTGCCCCCGACTGGAGATGGAGGCAATCCAGCTGACCTCAGAGTGGACAGTGATACTGATGTGGAGGAGGAAGAGGACCGGATTCTGGTTCCATTTCTGCAGAATTGTTCTACTCCTGTACAGATGTCAGGTAATAGAGCGGTCATCGTATGAGAACTGTATGTGATGAGTTTAGGCTGCAGCCATCGTATCATTTTCAAAGAACTGTCCAAACATGATAACTGCATATTTTACTGAAAGCAAAAAACTGAGGAAAGTTGCTTTAAAAAATGTGGAACTATTGGGGGATAATTTGATTATTTTACATGCACACGATTAAGAACAAATGCATTTTAAACATTCAGGTTATTTGCCATGATTGGTGTTGCTCTTTTATGGAAGGGGCTCTTTTATATCACATTAGCTTGTGACACAATGACAAAAATAAAGTAAACAGCAGTTAAAAATAAGCTTGACTAAAGTAAAATTAAAATCATTGAGGGAGAACAAAATGAATTTCTCATCATATACCTCCTCAAACTACTGAATAAATTATATTACTTGCATTTTATATTTTGT